TAAAACAGAATACAAAATCTTTTAAGTCAGAACCTTTATGGGAATGGCAGCCTTTTTGTCAGCAATTTTCCAATTCCTAAATGGTAACCCTTGATGTGGCGTCTCGTCAGACGGCCGCTACCCCGCGCCACTCAGATGCAATCGGAAGCTCTTCTGATACAACACAAATGTAGTTCTAATCGTACTAAATGTATGAAACCGACACCTCTCTGCGCGTCACAGCATAACACGACAGAAAAGTGTAGTTCACTTATAAGAATATTTTGATGTTAACGTCTTACTAAATATATGAACACCGGCTGCGAGCACGAAAAAGTGTGATGTCATGTCATGAGTTATTTCAACGTTCCGCTGTGTGTGAGGGGAGGTTGCGGGATACCTTCGACTTGGTTAGTGAGTAAGTGTGAGAGCTCCACGGGGTAGGAGATTGCATTCGGGCCAGCAGGGTGAGATTAGGTGAAGCGACATATTTTTCTGCCGGAGCAGCTCCTCTTACACTTAACATCGGGTGGGACTGCTTTAAACTATCTTTTGAATCAGGAAATGTGTAGCTAGGTTTAAATAAAAGATTCAGTAACTTTTGGTGTGCTGACTCTCCCTCAATGACGTATAATATCAAACATCATTGATGTCCCTACTGTCGGGGCACAGGCCTCACCTACGAATGGAATAGGAAGATTAGGTCATAATCCAACACGTGGGCCCTGTGCGGATTGGTAGGTGCTAATGACTGCAAAATTGTGTGTATTGTATCTTACGGAGCTTAACGGAGAAGTTCGAGATAATAAAGTTTTGGTTACATGACCGGCCATTGAGAAAGTTGCTTAACATCCATGATCGCAGATCCTAGATTCAATGCACTAACTACTTGCTCCATCGAGCTCCTCGAAATACTCACGCGTCAATAAAAATAAAACAAGTCTAAAGAAAATTTGCACGTGGTCCCTTTACTTTTTTCTAATTATAATTTTCTTTAGATTTAAACATCTATAATAGCAGTTAAATGCTTAAACATAAGAAAGTAATTATTTTTCAAATTCAGACAACTATCTATGTGGACTTGCGTAGAACAACGGGGCGGAGGCCTTAACAGGTGCGTGAACCGGGATGGAATAGGTGGAGAGCCCCGTGAGAAAATGTGAAAATACATACCTTCATAGGTATCGATTCAGGCATGATTCTATAAACTTAAAACTAAATTTAACATCAGTCTTTCCTTTTCATTCTGTATGGTGAATGAAAGGACAAATGACACCATATACGAGCTATGGTAGTCTATTCAAAATTATATATATTTCCGCGGGCTACGTATATTGCATTTTCGATTTTTTATGGCGCTAGGGCGGTGTATTGCTTCGCTACTCATATCCCTCACTTAGGCTCCTTCTTCGCCGGGTCGGTGCGGGCTAGTTTTTTTTGCGTTTCTGCACCGAATCTTTAACTACAGATATGATCCTGACAGGTCATGTCAGTTCCATGTAGGGTTACCAACTTTTTTCTATCAAATATAGTATTTTCGAAGCTGTTACCTCTAAAAATATAGTAATGTCAAAAAAAGGAGAAAAATAAAGTATGTGGTTAAAATATTAACTTTATTTCTGAAATACATATATGTATGTTTGGTGCTTTTATTGGCAAAAGTCTGCTTTAAGCAAAATATATTAGTTTCGTCTGCTATATATATTTTTTTAAGAAATATGTATAGTATTTGATCCCCTAATATAGTAGGATACTATATTATATAGTAGGGTTGGCAACCCTTGTTCCATATGCGAAGGAATTAGAGTTTATATTCGGACCTCTTTTTTACTAGATCGAAAGTGTACTTTATTCTGTTAACCTAGGAACTGACACGATCTGTCAGGATCGCATTCTTTCGCTGGCCGTACTTTAGTTCTTTTATGCACCCGTGCGTGATACATAAAAGGGTTTGCTATGAACGAATAATTTACGAAATTTACTAATAAAACAAGACTTCGCTCTTACCGTCGTATTTATAAACGAGTAAAATACATTAATTCTGCCTATATAATGACTTAAGCAATATTTTCATTTCATACATATGGAATTGATTCAAGTAAGAACTGACTGGTGGATTCTTAACTCTGAATAAATTTATCTTAAAACACTTTTAACTTCAGAAAAGTTTTCGTTTACTGTTTTTTTTGACAAAACTAATTATGGATGCCGGCTTTGTGAAAGCAGAAAGCACAAATCTGCCAAGAATTGACGCATTGATGGTTGGTGAATTTTTTGCACTAAATCCCGATTTCTGCTCTGCGGAGCAGAGAAACGACAAGGCATCTATGTAAGTACAGTGCATTTAGTATTACAATGTAGTAATAAACATAAAACTGATACAACATATGAATAAGTGTAATAAAGTTGCGTAGGTTAATTTCTTTCAGCACTTTAATCCACAACATTCCTGGAGTTTTCAAGGATGTGTTTTGATATTCTCGTACAATACAATAATGATAATTACTTTATTTTTCGTGGTATTTATTAGAAATCATGTATTTTTTTATTATAAACTCAGATAAGTTATTTTCTACGTGCTTACGAGTATTTGTTTACTACAGTTGACGTCATAGCATAGACAATCTATAGACTAAAATGGCCGACAGCGTTTTTGTATGTCCATGAAAATTCTATTTTAAAATTAAAGATTTGTAGCTTTCTAGGTCTCAAAAAAATACAATACATCTTTTTTCGGTCTAATAGAACATTTATTAACTACTAGCGGCCCGCCCTCGCTTCGCTTCGGTGTAGAGCTGAAGCGTAGACTACAGTTTTTGTTCTCAGGCTTGTTTTATACACAATGACATTCATCTATGATTATTCTTATACCTTCATGCAAAGTCTCAGCCCATTCGGTTTTAAAATTGACAAAGTTTCATACAAACTTTCATTCACTATTTTATCCCCTTGGGGGTAGAATTGATCAAAATCCTTTCTTAGCGGATGCCTACGTCATAACATCTACCTGCATGCCAAATTTCAGCCCGATCCGTCCAGTGGTTTGGGCTGGGCGTTGATAGATTACTACGTCAGTCAGTCACCTTTGAGTTTTATATATATAGATTATAAAAAAACTGAAGATGGTATATTTATCTTTTCCAAACTTCTATTGACATCACGTCGCTCAATTGTTTTGCCTTCCCAGAATCTCTCCACTAACATTTGAAATTTATGGTATGGTATTAAAGTTCAAATTGACTTTTAAGTATTATTACGAATCGTTTGTATGGGAGTAAAGAAAAGTTTTGTTTTTTGATATTTTCAGGCATTTTTTTAATTTTTCTCTTCGTAAGAACCATCCTCGTACTTCAAGGAATATTCTAAAAAAAAATCAGCCAAATCGGTCAAGCCGTTTTCATGTTATGTCGTGACAACGGAAAACGGGTTTCATTTTTATATATATAGATTTAAAAACTTTTTCCAAATAGGGTCAACTAGCCTATTCTTGAATCTCGTGCCAATAACTTAATTCATAAGTAACGTACGAGAGAGACAGAATGTCTTGCGTCGGTATTTTCCAGTTGTTTCTTTAGACTGGGCGCACATGTATAGTTTTCGGATCAGAAATTCCGCTTCGGAAACCTGCACGTCCTTACATACAAAATGTTTACCGAGGCGCATTTTTTAGAATGGAAAAAACCTAACGTTGCGTTCGGACTCTTAACTTTTAAGAAACCGAAACGACTGCGCTAGGTTCTCGGAATTCCGAATCTAGAAATTGTACATGTGCGTCCTGTCTTAATAGTACGAGAATTCTCATAATTCTCATTTTTGTCAGTTCTTACTTTGGTCAATTTGATAAGATGAAATGAAAAATGCTGCTCGAGCAAAGTAATAGCTTTTATAACACATTTGCTCGTAAAGCGTCTCTTATTACACCAATTTCAATATCATAATCTATCACATACACACGCGTGCGGTAATGCAAAGTAAAACGCACTGCTTATTATGTTCCGTCTCAAAACGAACGATGTTTTTTTAAATCTTAGCAAAGAGTTTTTATGGCAGAAAGGTAGCCAACATTTTCTTAATAAAATTAACTTTGGGATATAAAATATATAAACATTTAATTCTTTAATTTGATTCATTTTGACAATAAATTACAACCATGTCATCATCATCATCATCAGCCTCTTAATGTCCCCACTGCTGGGGCACAGGCCTTCCCTATGGATTGAATAGGGAGATTGGGCCATGACAAAATTCACAAAAATATTAATTTTCTTTATTAGTAACACTGGCTACTTTTTGTTCCTTTGCCTAAAAAAAGCGTTGATGCGCACGCATCGCCAATCTGTGAAAAAAATATTTCTTTTTCTTTACGCTGTATCGTTTTTATTTGAAAATAGTGTCAAGTAGTAACAAATTTATTAATTTGACACCGCCAGAAGTCGAAAAAGGCTACGCTAAGCCTCTTGCCCGAAAAATCCACGGATAGATACTTACAGTCAAGCGTATCAAAATTTCATCTTATGGAAAACAAACAAAGGTTCAAATTCATTTTCAGAAAGTACGTACGTACACGTAGGTAGTATTATTTCCTCGCAAATGTGTTATAAAACGTCGTATGATATACGTTCGGTTTGATAATTACAGCCTCTGCCTTCTTATAGTCCTCACCTATGGCTCGGGCTAACAATATCGCCTCGGCTGTAATTCTCAACTTACCGCACTTATATCATAATGTACTATTACTTATCTACTAATATGATGACACGGATAAATAATCTGTAATGTAATAAATTGATGGGTCTGATTCAAAGATTATATAATAGAAGCTTAGTTTCAAAAATGTTTTTTTTTCCTATTTATATCGCGAATTGGAGACAAAATAAAAAATGACACATCATAACTATTATAATCTTATATATATATATATTTAATCCTTATAATAATATGATATCAATCAATAACGTACATTTTAATAATATTTTATAAAAAATAAATATGGAATTGAAATACATTTTATTTACACTTACTCAATCTGTGACACTTATAGCGACTGGCGGTATGAACCTCCACACGTGGCTGACTTCACCCGGACATGGTTGTATTATAGATGGGTGATCTGTGTCCCCTATCACAGGGATATCTTCTAGCACTGGTTCTGTCGTCGAACATTGTATGTCAATTTTATATTCCCCAGGAGTTAGAAACACTACTGTGCACTCGTGATATGCTTTTGAAGACTCTGGTAATGAAGCCAGAACGATCCTGGGAAAGGAATTACATATAAGTGTATTTACAAATACAGACAATATTTGCATAATTCGTTCTTAAACAACGGTAAATCCCTTATTATACATTTTTTTGCAACGCTTTTCAGAGACAAAAATATCAGAGAGACACAGTTTGCGGTTTGCCTCAGATGGTTCCCCCCCACGCAGTACCGATTACGATTTCCCACCGCTAGAATTAGTGAATCAAATAAAAATTTTCTTAAATAAAACTAGTTTTTACGGGTTAATGCACGAAACTTTATTTATTTATTGACGTTTCGTAGCCTTTACAGGCTTCGTCGTCAGCGTAGTCAATAAATAAATAAAGTTTCGTGCATTAACCCGTAAAAACTAGTTTTATTTAATGAGTGATGTGCGTGAAAACCTAAGAAACAAAAATTTACTTCAGTAAAGAATGCTTTAATTAATAAGGATCTAGGAGTATGCTTGTTATTTCCAGCGGTTACGAGTCTGTTTTTCAGCTTGTATATTATGAACGCCGTTATTATAATCCTGGTAGAACTGTACAGAGACATAGCTATCGCAACGACCGCTATATTTCAATGGAGTGGATCTAAGATCCACTCTACTAAAGAGAGTGGCTCTAAGACCCACGTTACGTCAGGAGTATAGTTACTTGTCATTTACAGCAATGGCCAGTCTGTTGTCCAGCTTGTATATTATGAACGATGTTGTTATAATCCTGGTAGAACTGTACAGAGCGACAACCCTATCGCAACGACCGCCATAGTACAATGGAGTGGATCCAAGATCCACGCTACTAAAGGGAGTGGCTCTAAGACCCACGTTACGTCAGGAGTATAGTTAGTTGTTATTTCCAGCGGTTACGAGGCTGTTGTCCAGCTTGTATATTATGAACGCCGTTGTTATAATCCTGGTAGAACTGTACAGAGAGACACACCTATCGCAGCGACCGCTATATTTCAATGGACCAATCCATCGACATCTACATGCCCCACATACATATATTCAACATGGAGGAAATAGTCACTCGCCTCCTCAAGAGATGGCGCTACCGGCGCTGCGCTTACAACGTATGGAAGCCTACATCGCGCAAGAGAAATTTGGAGGCTAACACTCCATATATACAATGCCCGACCATCAACAGTCGGGCCGCGGCCCCCGAGCTACCATTACCCAGCTGTCTAAGCGGCCGCCGTACTAAGAGGGGGTGGCACTATAACGCCTTTGCCTTATCAAAAGTATCATCATCATCAGCCAATTAATGTCCCCACTGCTGGGACCACAGATCGCCCTATCCTGTTGAATGGAATAGGGAGATCGGGCCATGACCTACCACGTGTGCCCGAAGTAGATTGGTGGGTGCTAACGACTGCAGATGTAGCCGGGAACAACAGCTTAACGTGTCTTCAGAAGCTCGGAGGATGTCGAGCTGGTAAATCGAGATTGCAGCCGAAAGCGCTTACCATTTGCGCCATCGAGCTCTTACCAGGAGTATACTTACTTGTTATTTCCAGCGGTGGCGAGTCTGTTATCCAGCTTGTATGTATGAACGCCGTTGTTATAATCCTGGTAGAATTGTACGGAGAGACACAATTGTCTAAGCGGTCGCCTCAGATGGTTCCACACTCCCACGCCTAGTGAAAGGCATTCGCCCGCAGTGCAATTCAACTCCTCTTGTGGCTTTATGCACTGCTTGTTTACACTCACCTCTGTGGAAAATTTGACATTATTTTTAATTTTTAAATTCTTAATCTTATATTGCCTATTAAGGACTGTCGTTACATTTTTTTTTACGCCTATTCATGTTGTGGGTGTTTTTATTACATTTATTACAGAAACCCCACCTTTCTCCCTAGTTAAGTAAACTCAGCACTGTGGGAAGCTTTTGAAAATTAAGTGAAATCATTCTCAAAAATAGACCTAAAATTAATAAAGTCTATAACTTACCCCAGTTCAGAGGCGACATTCGGACGATATCGATCATGGCTTGTGAGAGTGTGATGCCTTTAACAGAGGCTTTCCCTCTCGTTTCAGAGTGCAGCAATTGCCAGCTGAGCGACACATGCTCCGTAACGTGTGCTGAACATAACTCCTCCACGCTTGTTACGGAAGATCCGGTTACCGTAGATTTGCATTCTAGCATATCTAAGCACAATATTTAAGGCATCCATTAATTCAGCTTCAAAGTGCAAATTTTATTGTTAGAGTGGAGTGTTGTCGCTAAAGAAATGGTAGTTTCTGGATGTGTAGGTATATTTAAGATAGTTGTATATTTTCTTAAAAGCAGATTTATCAGAGTTAAGTAGGTTTTAAATTTTTACGAGATATACCTGGACAAGTTTTGTTGTGTAAAGAATTTATGAACTATATTTGTTATTTATTATATTAGAGCGGTAAGTTGGTTATTACAAACGATTAGACGAATTTAAACCTGAGACTAAGTCGAGGGCTTACCACAGTCACGAGTTTGTAAATACAAATTCCGCACGAATGTCATACCACGTTTTCAACACATTTGCGAAAAATTAGTATATCTAACTTTTTCTAATAAGATAATGGTGCGCATTTCCCAATTGCGATACGTGTGGGTGTTGAAAATTAGAACTACATCGTTCGTCTCTTTTTCTCTTTACTATTAAAGTGACACCAAGTTATATCTATACCTTCGAAAAGAGCTTACAAGAAGATTCCATCGAAATAAGAAAAACGCACAGAATACGCACGACGCCATGTATTGGAACGTGCGGAAAAATGCTTTAACGCACGCTCCGTTGTATTGCCCGTAATTTTGAACATTCGAACAATGTATACAACCTCAAAAAACCTAAATGCATTTTTTGAGCAAATGTGTTTTGAAAAAAATTAAACATGTTAAAATTAAAAAATCCTCAATAATAGGGGAATTTTGACAGTTCCGTAATTCGTGCTGGGACCTCAGACTGCAACTCAAAGTGCCAATAATAGGACGAGTGCCAATGATTGGGTGGTTTCCCCTATTTCCTTAATAATAATAATAATTGACTCAAGACTCAAATAACGTTTAGCAGTAGGTTGCAGTCTGAGGTCCAAGCACAAATTACGGAGCTGTCAAAATTCGTGCTTAGGTCTCTGAGCTCATAAGCGCAAAAGTCCAGAACATGGTAATATAACTGACCTTCCGAATTACTTTCTTCATTAGTTCTGCTGGTGAGATTGAAGGGACATCTGTCTAGTGGCACTGGGACGCGGCAGGACTCCTTGCTTTCTATCAGGATGTGCTTCGACGGCGTATAGTGGAAGTCCATCTCCTCTGATGTGAGGTTTGTTACGTCCAGAACTAGATATAGCTGAGAAGGACTGAAACCAAATAATATGCTTGATAATAATCCATAGATAGTATAAAGTACCCGGCTTTCCGTGTCGAAGCAGAGTGTGTAATATAAAAGGCATAATAAGTGGATAGTTATGATAGGGAAGATGCAATATTTTTATTTTTGTTTTCATTTTAAAGAATTCCATGTAGAATAAACCACAGATATATTAAAAAATTAAAACATTGTAATTTATCGGAAAAAATGCGGTTTTAAATTGACAGTTTAAATTTTCGCGCGAAAACGGACCTATGGTTCCGATGACGTCACTCCTGTCTGGTCGTACTTATTCGTCGCTGGCTTTCATACTTTTGCATATTTTTTCGACTTTCGAGATATTTTTTAAAAGCCGCACTGAATCATATTTTGTGTCAATGGGTCCATCTACTTCAACAAAGTTTCCAAATAAATTGTTTTTGACTTTTGGTCGAATTAATTTAATTGACCCAAAACTGAGCAAAAAGTGCTTTCAAGCTGCGAAGAGAAATGACAATTATTCTCCAAAAACCATTATTCGATGCTGTGAAGATCACTTTGACGTAAGTCGGCGAATATACTTGTTATATGCTTAATTAATCTGCTTGTACGTAAAAACGCGTTAGTAACCTACCTAATACTTACAAAACTGTCTATAACATATTTTTAATTTTACAGTTGGAGAGTCGAAAATTGGATAAAGTTTAAAATGTGTGGCACAATCTTCATATTGGCAGGACTTAACCAAGCTTTGCGTTTCATTTAAAATAACGGTAACACGATAACCTTCATGCTCCGGAGTAACTCGACTTTTTACTGTACATAATCTCTTTTAATTTCGACATAGCCGATTGCGTTATCGCCGTAAGATTCTCTTGTTGAGTTGAAATAACTGCTATGTGTAGAAGCCGCCGAATAAAATACAAAGTTTAACAACTATGATTTACACATACCGTAGTAATTTAGTCCCTTTTATTTGTACACTTGAAACCTGCACTTTGGACAAAAAGAAATACAACCATGTCAACACTAACTCTTGGTAAATTCCTGGAGTCTGCTTTGATAAACCCAACTTTCATTTTTATTAAAAAACGAAATTAATATTCCCATAAAATAATATTCACTTTTACAACCATAACCTCAAATAAGTTGTCATAACAGGAGTGACGTCACTAAACGCTGATTGGTGTTTCAAAATACGTTTTTTTCATGTCATTTTTAATTCGTAATTATTGTTAAAAAAACAACATTATTTAAATAAAAACGTTGCAGTGCCCTTTCTTTTATATTTTTTAACATTTTAATTATAAAATTTTCATAAATATTATATTTGCATCTTCCCTATTCTATTAAGTATATCAGTGTAAATAGTCTGTAGTTTAGTCACTTACATTTCTGCTGGTAAGACATCCCAATGTGTGATGGACATACTAGGTAACAATTCAAGGTTAATTTGTAGGGTTGACTGTCTACAATGCACCTCCTTGCCCGATCCACCAGAATATCGTATGATAACCTGAAATAAAATTTTGTGAAAGTAGCCTTTGAAGCAATTTATTGTCCGTCACATAAAGGTGATAATCGCTTGCGCTCAATCTTTTCATATAATTGATTTTCCTTTCAATATCGAAAATGAACTCAAGCGATATTATACATACTTGCGCTTCTACTTGTCTCCCTCTGGATGGCGGCATGACAGATATCGGAGCAGACCAGCTAGTTGTATGCGAGTTACTGGATCTACAAAACATTACCATTCAATGGAATTAACAATATTCTGAAAGAAAAGATTGTCATACATTCAGAAATTGATATGGAATACGAACTGCGCTAAAAAGTGGATCCAAACTGCTATTAAGTGGGTGGGGCGAAAAATGAGATCAACACGCCGATCATGGGATTGGTTGTAATTTCGGTTTAACATTATCTTATCCAATGAATGGATAACCGAATTCATTTGCAGATATTTGATTTAACTAGTTATTTTGTTTTATCTGTGTCCGTGTCGCGTTAGTATTGAAGTTTAGTTGTATGACCTTGGAATCATGTTTTGGCGGCCTTTGTTAGAGAGTAATGCTTTCATATTGTTAACGCCATCTATCGTAAGCTTGCGAAAACACATTTACCTTATCCCTTCCTCTAAACTCACCTGTTGTCGACTTCGTCCGCGGCGCTGCCATCGCTGCAATTCGAACCAACGGACGAAAAAAAGGGCAACGGCTGTGTGTGCTCTGATCGCCGAGAGGAGACACCAAGAAACTCCCACGACGAGAAAAAACCGCGCTCCGGAGACGCTTTTCGCCTACACATATTTCCGCCCCGGGGCCCGCGAACATCCCGCGAACATTAGTGTAAAAAAGAAATAGTGGCGCGCCACAGGCGAACATTTCCAGGACAGGAAGAACAGGCGTCAAGGAACCAGCCCAACAAACCAACAGGTACCCCCTTTCCCACAGTTTCCCTCTAGTTTTTGTGTTTTCTTCTTGTATATAATCGCACATCCGCGCCGGGAATTTGTTTTGTTTTGTGGCGTGACCATTATTTAGTGGTCCTTCAGCCGCATTCATCCACCCGCCCTTACTGGTATTTACCCAGTAAGAGTATTTATCCGCTCCAATATTGTACATATTATATATATTTTCGCTTATTTTTCGTATTATAAGCCCGCAACGCATTTTCGTTCTCATAAAACGAAAGCACGGTGTCGTGGCTCGCTCATATATATATCTACCGCCCCATTAGAATAAAATTATTCATCTAATAGGAGAACAATACAAATTATTATAACACCCATATGTATTTATATAATTAATTAAAGGTTCCAGTAAATACTTAACCATTATAAGTATACCTACATTTCAAAGTACCTACATATTTGATATTTGTCACATTTATTTACCCGTGATTGGATATTTTATAAAGGTGCATAGAATAAAAACAACAACGCTTACATATTTAATTACTTACGCATTTGTCATTTGTTTGCATTCATAATGGACCCGAAAAAGGATTCGCCTAGTACGCAAAATCAAAAATTACTTATGTTGGAAGCTAAGCGTAATGCCTTATTTGAATGCATGCAAGAGATTTATGACTTGTCAAATACACTAGGATCCGGTAATCAAGGCGTGGAAATTTTCCTCGATGCTAGTAGTAACATTGACACATTACGTTCTGAATTTAAAAACTTATTAGATGAGTACAACAGGTGTTTACTAAAAGAGAAACCGAACTTTGCAATAGATTACAAAAGCTTTGTCGCATTCGAACGACTATACGGCCGGGTTAAGAGATTGGTGACCATTCATAGCCGCGATCTGCTTGCCGAGAAGAAGAGTGAAGATGCACCGCGTAAAACGCGTCCCTCCTTACCACCGTTAGAACTCGTGTCGTTTGACGGAGACATACGCAAGTGGCCTCTGTTCTTCGCTAGTTATAAGTCTACTGTTCACGAAAACCCATCGCTTTCAGACGCTGAGAAACTTTATTATTTGTTAGGTAAAATTTCGGGTAAAGCTCAAACCGCTTGCGCCGGGATTACCCCCTGCGCAGAAAATTATGATTTAATTATTCAAACGCTAGTAGAAAAGTATGAGGACAAGCGTACTTTAGTCAGTTCACATATAAACAATTTATTAGATTTTAAACCCATACAAAGCGCATCGGTTGTAAATTACGATGCCTTTCTTGAAAATTTCGTAAATTCAGTCCGCGCACTCCAAAATATCAAGGTAAACGACCTTAGCGATATTATTGTTTTGCAGTTGGCGTTGAGAAAATTAGACACTGAGACAGTACGTAATTTCGAACAAAAAACCGATTCTTCCAAACTACCTACATTCAATGATTTAGTAAATTTTATGCAAAATCAGTCAAAAATATTAACTCGTACGGCAGTAGCCACCTACACCGCCACCTGTTCGAAACAAACAATTGGAAATATTCGCTCGCGCTCTAATATTAAGAATAATAATAATTCGCCGCCAAACTATCAATCATATATTGTTAATTCTGTTGTGAACAGCGCCCGCGGTTCTCCGGCCTCCAAATGCATGTGTAGTAATTTCACACATCAACATTTATTTAAATGTTCAAACTTTAATAAATTATCTCCTTTGGAACGTTTTAAAGTGGCTAAAGATTTAAACGCATGTATAAACTGTCTTAGTACAGTACACAAAGTTTCGGCTTGTAATTCAAGTATGTGTTGCCGTGTGTGCAAATCGAAACATCACACACTATTGCATTTTTCCAACATAACAACGAATCCAGGCGCACCGGTGACGTCAGCCGACACAGCTGCATCGCTCACGCGCACACAGCCTACGTCGTTGACTAATACAGACGTAACGCTATGCGCTACGTCTAGTGATTCATTACATCGCTCCAGTAAGACACCGCGTGACTGTTTCGCTGATACTACGCAATGCACACCGCACACAACTATATTATTAGCGACCGCGCAAGTTTATTCTTATGACTTGTCTCATAACAAACACACCGTTCGTGTTCTGTTGGACACCGCTTCGCAAAGCCATTTTATAACTAAGCAATGTTGCGAGCGTTTAGGTATACAAACTAACGAAATAAAGAGAACGTTAATCAAAGGTTTTGGAGGTTCCGAGAATATCGTAAATAATTCCGCTAACTTTAAATTTTCTTCTCGGTTTAATGCAAATATAAATTTTAATGTAAATTGTTTAATTGTTGAGAAAATCACTGAAAATTTACCTTCCGCTGTGGTTGACAAATCTTCGTTGCCACATTTTCTCAACTTGCCATTGGCAGACGAATCATTTTCGATACCTGACAAAATAGATGTTTTGATAGGCGCCTCGTTGTTTCCGCATTTATTATTAGCCGATGTACTCCACCACAACGGCTCGGCGCCCCCCGCGATTAATACAGTGTTGGGTTATATTATTATGGGTTCCGTACCCACCGCTTACCACCGCGCCGACGCGTCGTCACCGCTCACCTCGTGTTGTGCTATCACCGCTCCCGAATCTATAGAAATGACTTTAAAAAGGTTCTGGGAATTAGAAGAAGTACCTTCGCCGTCCATTCAACGTCCGGATGACGTTGAATGTGAAGAATTTTATTGTTCCACCACTGTAAGGGATCCTACCAGTGGCCGATACGTCGTGGCGTTACCTTTTCGTGAGGACGCTTATTCCCTCGGGAATTCCGAGTTCATCGCTCGCAAGCGATTTTTGTGTTTAGAGCGCAAGTTAGAAGCGTCTCCCAAATTGCGCACCGCTTATGATGCCGCTATCAATGAGTATATTGATAAACAATATTTATCTCCCGCTCGCGCGGAAGACCCCACTCTTCCGTCGTATATTATTCCGCACCACGGCGTAGCCCGTGATGACAAACCGCTGCGACCCGTGTTAGACGCGAGCTGTAAAACGTCGACTAATATTTCGCTCAACGATATTCTGCACGGTGGCCCTAATCTACAGGGCGAATTATTTCAAATTATTTTAAATTTTCGTCTACATGCTATAGCTATGAGTGCGGACTGTCGACAAATGTTTTTACAAATAATAATACGCGATTGCGATCGTCGCTTTCTAAAAATATTTTATCGATTTAATCCGCAAGAGCCTCTGATGCTTTATGAATTTAATCGAGTTTGTTTTGGTCTCAAGTCAAGCCCGTTTCACGCATTACGCTGCGTTCGTCAGTTAATTAGCGACCATGGGGATAAGTACCCCCTCGCGCGAGATATAGCTTCTCGGTCGTTGTATATGGACGACTTGGCCTACTCAAGCCCCAGTAGCGAACAAGCCATTGCGGCCAGTAAACAGCTGATCGATATGTTCAAGGAAGCTCAATGGGACTTAGTAAAATGGAACAGCAATTCAAATGCTGTACTAGACACCATTCCTGATACTCACAAGCTCACCACCGCCGTTGAGTTTGACAAGCACGCGCTTTCTAAAATACTTGGTCTATATTGGTGTAGGGACTCTGATGAATTCTATTTTAATGTATCGGTCCCCACCGATAACACTTGTACCAAAAGATCAATTTTATCCACCGTGGCGAGGTTGTGGGATATCACTGGTTTTATCGCACCGACTGTGTTGTACGCGAAACTTATCATAAAGCGCTTATGGCAACTAAGAGTCGATTGGGACGAAGCTCCCCCTTCGGAATTGGTCAAACAGTGGTTACAGTTCCGTTCCGAGCTTCTAGCTTTAAACGATATTCGCATCCCGCGTCACGTCGGCGTCGCTGGCAATTGCGTCATTTCCTTAATAGGATTTTCAGACGCAAGTGAAAGCGCGTATGGTGGTGTAGTGTACCTACGCGTAGAAACTAACAGAGGTGTCACAGTACGGTTGGTCTGCGCGAAGTCTAAGGTCGCGCCAACTACCCCTCATACTATCGCTAGATTGGAGCTCTGTGGGATTGTGCTTCTCGCAAAATTAATGCGTACGGTCTTAAATAATTATGCCGCCACATTAAATATAAATATTTTCGCTTTTACCGATTCTAAGGTAGCGCTTTACTGGATAAAGAGTTTACCCCATCGTTGGCAGACATTCGTCGCAAATCGTGTCGTCAAAGTGACCGAAAATATTCCTGCCGAAAATTTCCATCACGTCGCCGGGTCCGAAAACCCCGCTGATTGTTTATCGCGTGGCCTAACGCCACAGAAACTAGTGAAGCATCCCCTCTGGTTTCATGGTCCACCGTGGCTATTGTCCGATTGTTCACTTTGGCCATTCAACGATGGAGATTTTCTAACTTCCGTCTCCGAAGTGCCGGAACAGAAGTTATGTGTTTATACCGCTACCGCCCTCGCTAGGGAGTCTGTAATTTACGCTCTTGCTCTTCGCAAATCATCATGGAGCAAACTCCTCCGTATAACAGTTTATATTTTTCGATTCGCGAGAAAGTTGCAACGCCGCGCATCCGCAACTATTACGGCGGCCGATTTGAGTTTCGCCGAAGTTCAAATTATTAAAGTGTTACAGCACGTGTATTTCGCTGACGAGATTTCAAAGCTTAAGAGTGCTGAACCTTGTTCACCCGCATTTAATAAACTTCACCCGTTCATTGAGAACGATGTAATTCGAGTAGGTGGTCGGCTTTCAAATTCTGCCCTTAAGTACGCTCAAAAATATCCATTTATATTACCGCGACACGATCATATAGTGCATTTAATCGTAGATTATTATCATCGTACATACCTGCATGCTGGGCCCGAACTGCTTATGTCTTTGCTCAGACAAAGATATTGGATCATGTCCGCCCGCCGCATTGTACGCCAGCGCATACATAAATGTAATCTTTGCTTCCGCGCCAAACCGCGACCTACCCTTCCATTAATGGCAGATTTGCCCGATTTCCGCGTTCGTCCCGTTATAAAGCCGTTCACGCATACGGGATGTGACTACGCCGGCCCCATCTCGTATACGCCAGTCCGCCGTAGAGGTGTTCGATCCGAAAAGGCATATATATGCGTATTCACTTGCCTCACGACTCGCGCTGTTCATATTGAATTGGTAACCGACCTAAGCACTCCTACCTTTCTCGCAGCTTTTAAAAGGTTTTTATCTCGTCGCGGTCCCGTGAAATGCATGTACTCTGATAATGGTACGAATTTTGTCGGCGCGAATTCATATTTGAGAGATTTTTATCGATTTTTACGCAATCAAACCTCATATTTCGAAGATTTCTTTTCGGGGAATCAAATAGAATGGAGGTTCAACCCCCCTTCCGCTAGTCATTTTGGTGGATGTTGGGAGAGCATGGTGAAAGTGATAAAGAATCACCTTTATAAGGTAATAGGACAGCAACTCCTTTCTTATGAGGAATTGCTTACGGTTTTAACACAGATAGAATGTTTACTAAATTCGCGTCCACTTACCGTGTTAAGCTCGGATCCTTCGGAGCCTACGGCTTTGACTCCCAGCCATTTTTTAAATAATTTCCCTTTACCGTCACTACCCGCACCTGAGGTTACAGATAACGTTTCTCTACTTCAGAGACATTCTTTATTAGACAAGTTGGTACAGTCGTTCTGGAAGCGATGGAGTGTAGAATATCTCCACAGCCTTCAAGTTAGACAGAAGTGGAATACGCTCTCCGCTCCTATCACCCTCGGCGTGATAGTGGTCATAATAGTAGATAATGCGCCACCTCTCTCTTGGCCTCTGGCAGTAGTAGAAAAAATTCACCCTTCTAAGGATGGTATCGTGCGCGTAGCTACTGTCAGAACCCCTCGAGGAACGTATACACGCCCGGTTGTTCGTTTATGTCCTTTACCAACTCAATAACATATTTATCACAACTACACTTTACACTAAAATTAGAATAATAATTTAAGATTAAGTATAATATGTAGTTTAATGTATGTAAGTATATATATTTTAGTCAATTAGTAAATTCCGCTTAATTCGCTATAACACAAGTAAGTGTTTGGATTATTGTTATTCTCGCCTTTATTATGATTGTTTTAAAGGTGACCCTTTAAGGGGGGGTGGATATGTTAACGCCATCTATCGTAAGCTTGCGAAAACACATTTACCTTATCCCTTCCTCTAAACTCACCTGTTGTCGACTTCGTCCGCGGCGCTGCCATCGCTGCAATTCGAACCAACGGACGAAAAAAAGGGCAACGGCTGTGTGTGCTCTGATCGCCGAGAGGAGACACCAAGAAACTCCCACGACGAGAAAAAACCGCGCTCCGGAGACGCTTTTCGCCTACACATATTTCCGCCCCGGGGCCCGCGAACATCCCGCGAACATTAGTGTAAAAAAGAAATAGTGGCGCGCCACAGGCGAACATTTCCAGGACAGGAAGAACAGGCGTCAAGGAACCAGCCCAACAAACCAACAGGTACCCCCTTTCCCACAGTTTCCCTCTAGTTTTTGTGTTTTCTTCTTGTATATAATCGCACATCCGCGCCGGGAATTTGTTTTGTTTTGTGGCGTGACCACATATAATTTTTTATTCGTTGCTTCAAAGTACCTGTTAACATTTTTTTAAACACAAAGTGAGGAATACTTTCCTTATATTAGAGGAAAGGATGCTAATTTGGAATACTACAATATACAAAAATATTAAAGCGCCATCTATTAACGTATACCAGTTTTACGTAGTCTGTGTTAGGAAACAAAATTGAGGTGGTTTAGAAGCAGCCATATTGACAGTTCCGTGACAAACTTCATCGGAATGAAAGTGCTGACGAGATTTTTTTCCAAGTAAGTAATAAATCGGCTTGCATCTTGAGTATGACTTATATTTATGTGTTTATATTTGTACAAATCTGAAGTCTAGTATTTCAGTTGTAGAAATCAACATTTATTCTAGAAATTAATCGAAACACAAATTTCCAAAAACATTTTAGGTTAGAATTGGCTATGTTGCTAATTTGGAATACAATAGGCTATGACTCTGGTTGTTACGTTTGTGACTATTGCAAAGTCTAGAAAAATATAATTGTTTTAATATAAGCTTAAAGTTATTTTTATTTTAATTGAAATGCTTTAATTTAAAGCCAAGAAAATAGGTATTTCAGGTTAACCATTAGGTGATCGTAATTTGGAATACCCTATTCCAAATTATATTCACTTTGGTTAAACTATGCTAATCTGTGATTTCTTGATTAAACCACAATTGATCCTACTTGTGATAATCCAAAGTTGTTAATTACTTTTCCTTGAATAAAATATAAGTTCTTCTAACATTTAATGCAGTGTTCACTTATTTATCTCTTTGTTTAATACGATTTTTTTAAAAGTAGTATTTCAAATTTGCATCCTTTCCCTATAATATTAGGTAGGATGGATGTGAAATATTGCTGGACTCAGTTTTCTCTGCCTAACTGACAAAACGTGAATATAGATGCTTGTGTAGGTGTAGGTTTGGAATCTTACCTAAAGCTCCCTGAAGTCCTGTTAGGTATCAGACCACTGCTGAGCGAAGTTTGAGCGTTCGAGCTTTGCGTTGGCAATGAGGACTGAACGTTTGGCACTGGAGATCCCACTCTCGAAGGGTAGTTTGACGTCAAGCTGTTAGGGAATAAGTTCTCGCCGCCCACCCCGCCTAGATCTAGGAAATCTGCTTCTCCATACAACTTCATCGTCACTGTAGCTGATTCGTTGGGAGGGATTGGCAATTGAGCCTGGATATCCTCATTGGACAGTTGGAAAACTTTAGATTGCAACTGACTGTCCATGTTTGACTGCGAATAGGCATTCGAAAAGTATTAAAAAATAATTTCGCCATGTCAATAGAGTTGCTATTTCTACTGTATTTTCAGAATAAAAGCACAATGTCTGTAATTTTTGATATCACAACCAATACAGCTTGTGTAGATTTGTTACTTTTTAAACAAGAAAACAACTTACTTGAATAGCTATATCCAAATATTCTATTGGGACGTTACTTGTGTTAGTAATCCTCATGGTGCACTCTGTGCTTTCCCCATTGTAGAGAGTAATGTTTGTGGTACTGCCAACATTCTCTAAGCTCGACAAGCTAACACTGCCAGAGGGCGCCACTGAAGTTTCTATAGTAATTGTAGGTAGGCTGGGAATAACTTCAATCGTGTATGAGGGTAGAAATTTATTTGGAGTTGGCATGTTCTTTAGTCTGCAATTTGACTTTACACCTAGAGTGTGAGTGGAATATCCCAGTACTTGCAATTCACCCACTTCTTTCGGTGTCCCGTGAAGGTTCACTGTGGTGGGAGAGTCGGGCGGCAATATTATAGTTTCCGGTATCGACTCGAACACCACGCCGGACGTGAGCAGTCTCATATTGGAAACTTTGAGCTCGAATGGTAGTGGATTGGTGAGTTTCATTTGGACTTCGCAAATATCGTCTTCCACCCAAAGGTACTCTGTAACAATGGAAATTCTATCCTCGGGTATGTGTTTTGAACGAATTCATTTTAGTTTCCTTTGGGGAAATAAGATCAAAAGAAAAGCAAAGAATTAGCGGTTGCTGTATTCGCCACGAAGATAGTAAAAGCCTATCGATGGATAAGAAAAAATCGGATAAGTAGCGGCTGAGTTGGCAATCTGTATTAGACCTGACAATGCCAAATATATAATTATGCAATCAACGCCGTAAGGACATGTGCCATGAAATTACGTAAATGTATTTTTGGTCACTATTTCGAGTCAAATGGCAATAAAAAAAAATATAATTAGATTAAAACGGTGGAGCTCGATGGCGCAGGTTCTTATCGCGTTTGGTTTGCGATCGTGATGGATGGATAGATGATCAAAAACTTATTATCTCGAGCTCCTCTGCGCTTTGCCTTGCTAAGCCGTTGGTCCCGGCTGTATCCGCAATCATTAGCACCAATTAATCCGCACTATTCTTACGTACTTACTATTCCATCCAATAGGAAGGCTTGTGCCCCAGCAGCGGGGACATTAATAAGCTGATAATGATGATCAGCTCGTTGATTGATGAGTCGTTGGATATACCAATGACAATGAAGACGCTCAAGCACTCACCCATTTTTCCCTCATCCTTCCTGGCTTTCCGCTCGAGACTGCCGAAGTGTATTGGCGTGAATATAAACGGGCCCTGCTGGGGCTTGCACTTGAGCATATGAGGGGCGCGGGGCGACGGCGGCGGGCGCGGTAGGAACGCAGAACAACGCGGCACGTGCGTGAGGTTAGCGGGAGGGATCACTTCACCCGTCTCCAGCACTAGGGGCACGGGTCCGCCTTCGCACTGCGCCGATAACGCCTGCCGAGACGTAGGTACCTTATTATGTGTACTGACTGTGGGGGATGGGAGGTTCAGTAACGATGTAAAACGCCAAAATGCATCAAACAAAGGTATAATAAATCACTTTTACAGGATATTAGCATAGCGCGTTTTTTCTGGATCGCAAAGTAGTACGGTGTCAATTTCAGAGCGGCTCGCGGAGGACCGTTTGGGGCCCGTGCAACGGCTTGTAACGGTTCTCCGCGGGATTGGCAGTGACATCGCACTACCTTTTATTTTTAATAAAAATTATAATCTAATTAATAAAATTGAGCGCGTCGCTAACACTGTCTCTGATACTACATATATCAGGGACTTTGAGCGGGTGCGGTAGGAACGCGGAACAACGCGGCACGTGCGTGAGGTTAGCGGGTGGGATCACTTGACGAGTCTCCAGTACGAGGGGCACGTTCGCACTGCGCCGTTAACGCCTACTGAGACGTAGGGACGTTATAATGTGTACAGACTTTCTTAAAATTATATTACAGACATGGCACCAAACACTTTTTTTGGACAATATCAAAATTGTATTCCCTAAATCTATCTACTTCTTTATACATATATGCAACAAAACTAATAGTATTACAATGTTCAATTATAAAATTGTATTTAGGTGGAGTAGGTACATTAGAAGTTGATTTAAAGTTGCGATTTCTCCTTAATACCGGAATCAGCATGGTCTCTACTCACTTGCAACTGTATGGCCAAGTTCCTGTGCTCCTGGCGTGACAGATGTGGCCACATGGTCTGCAGCAGGAAGGTCATGTGCCTGGTGGCGGGAGTCGGGTGGCCCATACTTCGAGCGGCTACTACTAGCTTTTGCAATAACTACATTTTAAGACTGGGATACTGTAGCAGTTATTCATATAGTACGTAGGTACTGACTTGCAACTGTATGGCCAAGTCCCTGTGCTCCTGGCGCGACAGATGCAGCCACATGGTCTGCAGCAGGAAGGTCATGTGCCTGGTGGCGAGAGCTGGGTGCCCCATCCTTCGAGCGGCTACTACTAGCTCTTGCAATAACTACATTTTAAGACTCGGATACTGTAGCAGTTATTCATATAGTACGTAGGTACTTACTTGCAACTGTATGGCCAAGTCCCTGTGCTCCTGGCGCGACAGATGCGGCCACATGGTCTGCAGCAGGAAGGTCATGTGCCTAGTGGCGAGGGCCGGGTGCCCCATTCTTCGAGCGGCTACTACTAGCTCTTGCAATAATTGGATTTGAAGGGCTGGCCAACCTAGTGAGATGTGAAAATACCATAGGTTTTTTGGGGCATTTTATATATGCAGTTATGGGGGTTCAAGTGTATTTATAATACTTTTATTAGCAGGATTAGTAAAAAGTAGTTTGTGTTTCAAGTTTCTATGCAATTGTACACTAAATAAATGAATTCTGTCAAGCTTAAGTGAAAATGTTATCATAGTTCCTACAGAAATTTTACTTAATAAAACAGCTGACGCGAAATATTTATTTACCAGTAATCCAAGAAACATTGATCTATACAATCAACATAGACAATACAATATACATACACTTTTAACTTAAAACCCAAATACTGAAAATATCAGTCTATTAGTGAGTAGGAGGTTGACATCTTATCTTCAAATGCTTACCAACTTGATGCTGTATAACATAGTTAGGGTCGAGACTGAGTCTGTGGCCAGGGAAACTGTGTAGCATGAGATAGTAGCACCGCTGCCAGTCTGGGTTCGGGTTATTAGGGCTCACTTGACGCGTGGCTGCCAAACGCTGACAAAACGCTGCTTTTCTTAGGAATCCTAGAAAATTAACGCCCAAATAAAGGTGTTTACAATGGCATATCTGGATTTAATTCATAAATATATTTATTCTGCTAGTCATCATACCTATTTCTTTATAAAGTTCAGCCAGTGTATCGAATCTTTGAATTTTTTCCTGTTCACTTAAAGTCAGATTGATAAATATTACATTTTGTAAGAAGCTTGATGCATGGAGACTGTTGTTTTGTTCCACAGCAATTCTAGCTGCCTTGAAACAAGCTTCAGTCTCTATAATACCAGCATTTTGATATTTGCTGTAATGGATAATAGCTTTTCGATATTTCTCAGCAATCTCTTCACCATTCAATAGATATTGGTTGTTGATTTGAGATGGTTGCCTTGGAATTGAAGGATGGTCGGACATGTAAAACGATTTCTGGCTCTGGTATTCTATGTCACTTGAAGATGCCAGGGATTCTGTATCGGCATTATCAGTTTCAGATTGCCGTGAAGAGGTTTCCAAGCTTTCTGATGATGAGGGAGTTAGTTCACTGGGAGGATTAACAGGACTAGAGGTTTTTGAAGATCGAAGTGGAGAAGAAGGCAATTTGTATTTTTTAAAGGGATCTATATTTGGTTGGAATAATGATAAAGGTTTGGTTTTGTTGGGTGAACTTTCTTGTAAGCTAGCATTTCTTTGTAATGGAGTGGGGTTCCGCAAATTAGGATATAAGAGAATTGCTGATGCAGCACATAATCCTGAAACATAATACAATATGAAGGTCATGGAATACCAATAGATGATTAAATTTAAAAAAAAAATTACCTTCTTTAGCAGCAGCTAACCATAGCCAGTCATTGACAGCTTTAAGTATTTCTGCAGCATTATGGTACAAATTCAGACTATCTGCTATCAAGCCCGACTGTAAAGTTAAATCTGCTAGGTTTTTGGTGACACGCCCCATACATCGCTTTTTGTTATTTCGTGATTCCATATCAAGACCTGAATGTAAGTAATAATTAGGATTCTTAATTAATATTTAAATTAAAAAAATAATAATTTAGGACTACCACTTCAAATTGTATGAACTTCCACTTACCTACAAAGTCTTTCTTTTCAAATGGTGCTAAGAGTAGAGAGACTTTCTCAATTTTTTCTCTAGATCTTTCCAACCTTTTAGATTCAACAACCCAAAAAAGAGAATTAATCAAATCAGCTACATTCTGTTCTAAATCAGTCACTGGGTCATTTTCACTATAGAACATAGCATGAGTTTTAAAATTTGATGGTGTTGTATAATTTTCTTCTTGTATAGGTAAAGATGTGGTTGATGATGAAGAATGGGGATAGCTTTCAGCTGAAGACAGACTGTCTGCTTGATCACTAGGCAAAGAGAATCTGAAATGATTAATTGAATTAATATTCTTTTATTATCAACATCTTGCTAAGATCAGTCAGGCCAAATAAGATACTGATGAACAGTACTTTCAATACACTAATTACAACACTCAAATGATTAGGATTTTGACTGTTATTGTTGAATTTATATTTTTTAAATTAAAAGGTTTTTGGAAGATTTATAGATCAACAAAGAGTTAAACAGTGCCATTTACAAATCAATTATGTAATATAAAGATTTTGAGATATAATTGATATTCATTTCACTAATCTAAGCTGCAATTAAAAAAAATGGTTTGAAGTGTTATTTGTCACATACTTACAAGTAACACTTCAAACCATTTTTTTTCAGCTTAAGAATATAACAAATAAATGATGTTCTCACTTTTCTCCTAGACTACTGCTTTCCTTTGATGTTTTATCATCTTCAAATATGCTGTAGGTTTCTGGCTCTTGTTCTGGTTTTTTACTGATTGGTCCAAACATGAAGGCTCTCGAGTCATAAAGAGTGTTGGTATATTTCACCTTCAGAGATTCATGTACTCTACAAACCTCATTTAATTCTATTTGGTTTGTAAATTTACTTAGTGTTATCAGCCCTAAAAGACGTCTGCAATAATTTAATCGAATATCAGTATTAATTTTACAATATTGTTGAATTGTAAATAATTTTCTTTAATTTACCTATGGGTTTGGAAGTCTCCCCAGTCATTATTTTCAACAGGATAGTCTCTAACATATCTAACCCAAATATCTCGTACTTGTCCAGATGAATCTGATCAAATGACAATATAAGTGATTTTTAAAAATGGACCACTTAAAAGGTACTTGGTAATAAAGTTATTGATAATCAAATACATTTTAACTGCTATTTTTAGACCTATTTATTTTAAATAAACATTTAAAAAAAATACATTATGATTAACATTTAATCAATTACTTAATATTTTTCAGAAGAACAGATATGATACAAACCAGTAACTTTTATGTTGTTTACTTTTTGGATACGCTCCCATAATTTGTTGAAGTTTTTCAACATACCACCTATGCCTTTTACCAGCACCAAGAGGCAAGCGTGGTGCTGGGCATGTTGCCCGTAGTCTGGATGCGACATTACAGATTCTCCAGGCGCGTGAGATAAAATGTAGCTCACTGAAGAGCGCATTGATATAACATTTGTTGCTAGACTGTGAATTCCCTTTAATTGGTATTTGGACGCACTAGTAAATTGTTCATTGGGTTGAATATTGAATTGAATAACTTAAAAATACTAGCCAAAATAAGCTAACTACGTATTAAACAACGCAGCAATAAATAATAGTAAATGTTTATTGAAAGTTTTATTCCCAATTTCCAACATTACAAAGTAGATTTTACCTACGGGGCGTAAATGACATTGACGTTTACGTTTTCGTTCTAAAATAACCACGAACAATGGTGCCAATTCTGGCGTGATTCTCTAAACTTAAAACTAAATTTAACATCAGTCTTTCGTTTTCATTCTGTATAGAGAATGACAAGGATATACTGCTGTCAAATTTAAGTTTAGGTTTAGAGAATCATGTTGGAATCGACACCAATATACTTTTATATAGGGTAACAACAAACTGAAAATTGTATTTGATATGATTGATATATAAATATATATAGATATATATATATTATGTATGCGCCATACCCGCAATCACATATAAAAAATGGAAAAATATAATAAGACAAAGTTGTATGAACTCTACATCCTTTTACTTCCCTTTAAAAAAGAATATTACAAAAAAAAGCCAATTTGTTGACAGATTTTGTTTTTTGACAGATTAATAACCTCAAATCTCAATTTCGTTTTGAATTCGTTCGCCGACAATAATTTTATTCAAACAGTAAACATTAATATAAAATTGTTTCCATAATATTTTCAGGAAGAAACGATGGCTTCCAAAGACGGCGGAGAAAAAACAAAAGTAATATTTTTACCTTATAATGTAATTATATCTGTACAAACATTAATTTTACTCAGATTCAGATTCGATTTGCTTTTAGGGTGGCCAAGGTGCGGGCGATAACAAAGAAAAGCGGAGGAAAGAATCCATTCTCGATCTAAGCAAGTATTTAGAGAAAAGTATTCGTGTGAAATTTGCAGGAGGACGTGAAGCTGCAGGAATACTCAAGGGTTACGATCCACTTTTAAATCTTGTCTTGGACAACACCACAGAGTTTCTCAGAGGTTTGTGGTAACTTTTTTATTATTATTCGTAATTTTAAGCCTGATAATACTTTATGAACTGAAAGATTGCATGAAAAGCTATGCGTTTAATAGCTGATTTTTTACTGTATTGCTCGAGTGACACAGTAGACTGTATTAGATAGGATCCTGAGGAGGTAGATGGCGTAGTAGTTACCGCATTATGTCTGCGATTGTAGTAGATATTTTAAAAACTCGTCATGCTTTCGGAAGGCATGTTAATCCATTAGGTCCAGGCTGCATCTGTAGTAGTGAGCACCAACCAATTTGCACTGGGACATGACAGGTCATGCCCTATTCCATCCATAGGGAAGGCCTGTGATGCAGCATTGTGAATATTAAGGCTGATGATAATGAAGAGTTAGGTTAGGTGGAAATAAGCAAAATATGTACAAGCCATTCCAACTGAAATTTATTTATTCATTATTACCAAAAAAGTAAGCAGTGGACTGAATGCTGCGAAATCAACAATGTCTAATATTTTGAACTATTAATATCTATCATTTTGCATTTCTTGGGAGTTTAATCTAAAGTAATTATTTCTCTTCCACTACACTGAACATCAGGGGGGCTAAATTGGAGCTATAAGGTGATAGAACCTATTTTGTATATAGAACCCACAATAGGGTGGAACCACTTTGGCTTCCAAAGCTTTAATTCTGTTAATGTAGATTTTCTTTTGTTTTTAGATCCTGATGATCCTTACAAGCTCCTTGATGATACCAGAGCCCTTGGTCTAGTTGTCTGCCGGGGCACATCAGTAGTATTGATTTGCCCTATGGATGGCATGGAAGCAATACCTAATCCATTCATTACACAAGAAGGATAGTCTTTTAGGGGAATATTTTTTTACATTATTTTCATAAGTTATAAGATTAAGTAAACAATAAGAACAAAATCTGTTTTTTTATTATAATTTATTTAAAAAATATCCATAAGAAGGATAAATTAACTTTGTCATTTCAAATTTTAAGTAACATACTTAAGTAGTTCCCCTTTTGAAACTGTCTGATAGATTTATCATTTTTATATTATCATTTTTATTTTATCATTCACTGTTAACTTAAATAATAACAAGGGATGGCAAATCTTTATTGTTTTGCTATTTAATTATAGCTATTATAAATAACATTAAAGTCACTTATTTTATAAATATTGCACACATTGCGCCATTACCTTCAACTTATAATGTGTTTAGAATACTGAGTTGTCATGAGATTGAAAACTTAAACTGTTCTAGCCTTATTATTATTACTCAAAGTTGATTAAAATTGAAGTTTTATATTTCCAATACTACTGATACAGAAATAATAGCATCAGTTTTATGCTATACCTAATTATAACTGAATTTATTCAGTTACAGAAACAAAATGTAATAATATCTAACTTTTATTACTACTTAAAAAGGCTCTAAGAGCTTTATTCTACATAACTAATATTTAAATAATTTAAGTACTGGTAACTACAACTTTATTTGTGGGGATTTCCACTGTAACTAGTAATAAATTAATAAAAAATACGAAAAGTACTAGGCATGCACTCAATACTAATATTACTTATTGCTCAAGTATGTCGTTGTAAGGAAGATAAAATAGCCTTGACTTTATTTATGTATAAATCAACTAAGTGGATATACTGATTATACTTTAGTAATTTCATTAAAGTCATTCTACACCAAATTCATTTCTTATCCATGGATATGATTTTGGGCATTCAGTACATGTTATCATGTACCTATCATGGGCGAGGATTTTTGAATGCAGTTTACATGTTCTTGGTTTAGTGCATGCTAATTCGTTTTCTTTGAAATTTTGATGTTGGCATTGCCAAGGTTGGAAATTTTTCAGTTGAAGCACAGGAGTTGGCCTCTTGATCCATTCGATGGCTTGGCGGTTAGTTACAAAGTAGACATCTGGGAGTCTAAGAATCTCGTTCATAAACCTCTGAAAATAAACAACATTTTTAAATCATACTTAAACGATAACTTGTGATTTTCGGGTTCCGTATTTTGAACAGTACCCCCTAGCACGAACTAATAACAAGTTCGAATAGTTTGCGAGTGCGAAATGTCATTGTCAAATTGTATGGAAAGTTGAACAGCAGCGCCACAACGGACGTAACGAGAACTAAAAATCAGTACCCATTTGGCATCTAAAATAGATTGAATTCAACCGATATCCGATAATGGTTCGTGCTGAGGAACATAAACCCATCATGGTTCATTCATACTACTTAGTAGCACAGAGTGGAAGCACATCGAAGCGAATTTCCGAAACAGTAACATAGCAAATTCACCCTTATCTCCGCACCGTAATGTACATATTCCCTTACAGATAAAAAGAAAACGCGCGAATTCACGCGCATACGACCGCGCGCAAACGCGTTAATTCCGCTGATAACACAAGTCAACAAAATGAAAAAAAAAATTGAGTCTGTTATTTAATGACTATTGTCTAATTGTTTATATCGAAAAATAATCAGAAACCTCATTTTTATTTTAAAAAGTTTGCTTTTGTACTTTATACAATGATAAATAAATATGTATGACTTTTGTAAAAGGCTGAGGATCTACCGCTTTTAATAAGCAAAAGAAAGGAGTGCAGAAGGATATTGGGTATGGAATAGGAAGCAGTAGAGCAATCAGTCAGTGCATGTACACACCTTTTAGAGAAACGACGTATATTATAAATGCTTAGAGCGGTAAATGCCTTCCAAAATGAGTGAAAACTACGTGGACCCAGTTTGCTTTATTTGCGGAGATTTTTTAAAAATTTTGAGTCATAACAATGATTTAACCAGTAGTTAAAGACTTAATTAAACATATGAAGCTTAATTTTAACTTCCTATTTGACTTCAGGATAAAATATGGACGCCTCATGACGATATACAAAATTTCCAAGTTATTTTTGTTTACTTCACTACCAGCAGCACATTCAGAGTGTCAGAAAAAGAATTATAATATTTAATATGATATACTTTTATTCATTATGGACCCTATCATTATAGTATGTCTCAGTTGCATGAAAAAATCTTTATTGAAGGGAAACGACGTATTTTGTGAATCTTGAGCGGTAAAATGTCTTCCAAAATGAGTAAAAACTACGTGGACTCTTTTTGATTTATTTCCGGAGATTTTATTAAATTTAGGGTCAAAAAATGTTGTTTATCCAGTAGTAAAAAGCATAATTAAACATCTTTAACTTTCTATTCGAAGTCAAGATAAAATATGGGCGTCAAATGAGGATATACTAAATTTCCATGGTATTTTGTTTACTACAGAAAATTTTCAGACTAAAAATTATAAAATATGCTAAAAATATCAATTTTTAAAACTAAATCAATATAGTTTTTGTATTCATAGACTTGGTTTATTTGTCTAAAGTAAATAAAAGAGTTTTAAATAAATATATTAATGATTTTTTTCTTGTTATATACAACTTAAACAAAAAAGTTTGCAATTTTCCATGAAATTTAAAATTTCATTCTGATAGCTACAAAAGCAAACTTTTTTAAAAAAAAATATTATTTCTTACATTAATTAGGTATATGAAATCAAAATCTGGTACAAAGAACTAAGACTCAAAAATCGTGTTATCAGCTCAGAAGGATTATAAAGAGTTTGAGGCAGCCCGACGTGTTGCTTGGGTACCATAAAGTCTCTTTTTTTATTGTAAGTTTGTTTCGCTTTTTAATTTAATGGGTTTTTTCTTATTTTTTTATTGAACTGTTTCACTTACGCAAGTATATTTATTTGTGATGAGCAGGCAGACCGGACCAGAGAGTGGCCGGCAGCCCACCCACCAAGCGTCCTCTGTATGGCTATAAGTATGATATAGCTAGCCAGGTCCGATTGGTTTTAAATCGGTACATAAGGTCAAACAATTCGGGTATAAGCGTTGCAGATCGGGCCAGTAAACAAAAAGCAAGGGGTTTTTAAGTCTAGGTTTAATTTATTGCGTTTATTTTTTAACTTTATCATTTTTTGATTAATCGAGACATTTAGCGTCCCAGATCCCTGAAAATCGGGACGTCCCGCGCAAATCGGGACACCTGGCAACACTACCTGTAGCAGAAGGCGGGTGGGATAGAAAGAGAATAGATGAAAGATATGGATTTCCCCATCCCCCCGAGCAAAGAGGGAGGGGATTAGAGAGGAAGGAAGAGAGAAATGAAGAATGGAAATAGTTTGTGTAACGGGGACTGACGGCGCGAGCCGTCGCAGTGGCCTCAAGTGGCCATACACGAAGCCTAGCCACGCCAGCCCCCGTCACGTTGTTGGCGCCGCTAGGCAGCTGGGCATAGGTATAATAAAAATTTCATCAATGATTTCATAAAAAAAAGTTCATAACTTGGTATCGAATCATAAGTACGTAACAATGAATTTCTAAGTTTGATGATGATTGGATTTAAAACTATAATGGAATAACTATAAATATAAGGACCAGGATCCAGGATCGGTCCCAGGTAAGACAGACCGATGAGACAAAATTATTAATTTGTAGCTCTTTTCCCTGTTTTATATTGCCTATATTAATTAATCAACGATAGGTACATATATCGTTGTAATTAATTAATAAGTAGCCGGACCCACCCAGGACCAGTCTCAGGTAGGACCGGCCGATGAGAAAAAAAAAATAATTTGTAGCTCTATTCCCTGTTAAATACATTGCTCATACTAATTTATTATTAAGTAGTCGGACCTACCCAGGACCGGTTTAAAATCTAGGTAGGTCCGACCGATGACACCTTGAATTATTAATTTGTAGCTCTTTCACCTTAAAGTCTGTTAGGTAGTCTTCATTGGATTTCAGCCACGTCGAGCTTAAGTGTATGCCAAAAGGTGCTCTGTTCGTCAGATAGTGTCGCTTGAAGTTGTTCATGAGCACAGTGTATACGTCTCCGCGGCGCAGTTTCGTGGGACACCGGTCTAGCGTTGGGCAAGTTGTGTTACCGCTCGCTAACGGATTAATGACCATTTCCCAGAGCCCTGCGTAGCTTCGAGTCGGGCACTGTTGGTTGTTTACTGAAAAAATTTAGGTGCGTATATTATAATTGCGACGGCCAAAGTGTGTTTGTTTGTTTGGCTTTATGTCTAAACCACTTAATCTATTATGATGATTTTTGGTTTAAAGAAAGATTAAATTCTGAAGACGATTATATATGTTTGTCGCGAAAGTTAAACTTGAAGGGAGTACATTAATTTGTTTGTCTATAATTTATTAATCTTTCTTCGCAGATGATGAAGGATAGATATTATAATTTCTTATATATCTTTACATTTGGTTCAAATATTTTACTTATTTGCTATCTGTTTTACACCACTAAAAAAACAATGTAATAATTTGTAGTTATAAATACACACATCAAAAGTGTCTAGGGATCAAGCATTTTTATGCGGATTTCTTGAGATTGAGATGTGGCTTTGTAATAAATTTATGATTTTATAAATTTATATGGATCCTTTTTGGTGCATTTCATAATTTGAATCAGGAACTGTGAATCAAATTCGAGTAAAAGATGAAAATCAGCTGTCAATATTTTCCCTATAAAAACATACAACGCATTGAAGACATTATTAGTGCTACTGTTTCCCTACTACTGATTAAAACCAACGTTATTATGGAGCGGCGACGTCATTTAAGCAGGGAAGAAATGCTCAGAGCCGTGGGAATGATAGAAGCTGGTTCCCGGCAACGTACTGTGGCTTTAGCTCTGAATACAAGTCAGAGTGTTATCAGTCGACTTTGGACACGATACCGAAGCACTGGTACCGTGGCTGAGCGCCATGGAGGACGGTATCGCTGCACCACACGGAGACAAGACCGATACATTCAAATCTTAACTCGAAGAGCTCCAACAATAACCGCCATGATGTTAGCCGTGAGGCTTCATCACTCTTCAGGGAACTTAATTAGCGACCAAACAGTCAGAAACCGCTTGCATGAAGTGAACCTTCATTCCCGAAGACCGCTACGGGTACCACCTATAGCAATGCACAATCGTAGGATTCGATATCAATGGGCTCTTGAACACAGAAATTGGGCAGAAGAACAATGGCGTTTCGTGTGCTTTTCTGATGAGTCTCGTTTTGGTATGAGACCGGATACAAGACGTATACGACACTGGAGAACCCCTGGACGCCAACAGCGATTAAAATCCTGCCAGGAAGTCCATCCTTATAGTGGTGGAACCATCATGGTATGGGCGGGTATTTGGATCGGCGGAAGAACTGAGTTGATTTGGATCAGAGGCAACCTCAACGCTCAAATTTATGCTGAGACGATTGTATCAGACGTCATCGTTCCTCTACAAGTGCAAATCGGTCCCTTATTTCAGTTAATGCATGATAATGCACGACCGCACACCGCAAGAGTTGTAAGACAGACTCTCGCCGCAGCTAACATCAATGTCCTGCCCTGGCCTGCTCAGTCGCCAGACTTGAACCCGATTGAGCATGCATGGGATATGCTACAGAGAAGAGCTCTGCCGAATATGGAGGGTATCCAGTCGCAAGAAGACCTTTTTTTGTTGTTGCAACGAACATGGGCGGCCATTCCACAGCGTGATTTGGATGAACTCATTTTGAGTATGCCAAACCGATGTTCTTGTGTTGTTAGTGTTCCCGGTAGAAATACGGATTATTAATTGTTTAAGTTACCCAATAAAATTTTAGAGAAAACTGTTATTTCAGTCTTTTTTTCGAACTTTTGTGTCAGTGGTTTAAATGTCAAAAATCCCTTTATTAGGAAAATGGCAAATTTCTTTATTAATGCAAAGGTGACTTGGTTTATCGTTACTGTGACAAACGAAAACACTTTATTTGATGAATCCTTAAAGAAAATTTTAATTAATATCAATCAGGAGAAAAGTTATTGCAAAAATATATGTTGATCCCTAGACACTTTTGATGTGTGTATATTATTCTACAAGAAATTTTACTTCTCCGTCTATACCACGTAAAATTATAAAGCATGCTTAGCTGCGATAGTTTTAGCTTTCATATTAATTTAATAAATACTTCTACCCGTAGGTACCCATTAGTTTCTAATACTCGAGTACTTGTCTTATTTAGTAACTTTTACGAACGATCACATATACTCGTATATAATATGGGGTTAGTCACACAGAGCTGTTCGGTCGTGGAAAATGAAACCAGCAATGTATTAGTAGACATGGAACGCGATACATTGTGCGAAGATTATAAGTGGAGCGTGTGAGAGATGATTAGATAAGCAATTGTTACAAGATTCTACTTGGAATAAACTGATTGCTCCACGCAAGTGCAAGATGCGCCGTTGTTTGCGATGTGACGAATGACATAATAGTAGGCGAGAATGCGGCACTCTGCAATGACTACTTATCTATTAACCTATACAATTACATTGTGATTGTATTTTTGATTAAATTATTCGCAACAACAGAAGCTGAAGATGGCGTTATTTAGTTTAGGACTCATTTGAATCACTGTTTCACTACAATCACTTTTGTCTGCCCGGTCTAAACAAATCACTCAAACTCAACAACAATTTTGTTAGATTCAACCGTGCAACCGTCCCAACTAAAGGGTCGTACTAGGAATATCATGGTCCATGAGCTAACTAATCTGAGCCGTAACCAACACTTAATGAAATATTGAGAACTATATCGCTATATATGTAGATCACAGTCAAATTAGATGAATTTAACTGCAGAGCCGAGTTTTATGTTTCCGCTAGAGGCGCTGTAATGCTCAATTAAAAACTTTGGTGATCATATTTTTCGAATAAAGCTTTAAGTACCTATATTATACTGATGCTGATCTGATATTACCTATAACGAGAATACAGTGAAAGTTTTGTTATATCATCTAATTATCGAGAATGTGGCCTACCGTCGCATTCGTGTGGCATCTTGTAATCTAAAGTATAGGGCCAATAGGGAGGGTTGATGAGCGGCGCCACAACTGTGGAGTCGTATACGAAACCAAACTCTTGCATCATCAGGAATTGCCGATTCCAACCCACAGCCAGGAATGGTACGCGCAGGCCCCTGCGAATATATAAATCCTTTTCGAAGTATTATTTGTACATGTGTTTTTATTTAACAAAATAGCTTTTAAGGGAGGTAGGGCATAGCGAATTTCCCACTCGAATTGGAACGCCCGTCTCGGGAAGTAACTTCCACCTTACAGAGGACCACAGTAAAATAACACAACTTTTAGTGGTGTTGTGTTTCTGTCGGAAAATAAGGTACAAGAGCTCGGGGATTGGGTCTGGTAGACAACGGTATGAGTGATATTTTTGATATTGCAAACGTCTTTCCATAGGGAAGGTTGACGGGAGTAAGCGGCCACCCCATGGCGGCAACTCCATGGTGGCCGCTTAACATCAGGCCGGCTACCATACTTTGTTCAATCAAATTGTACATTTTGCTAGCAAAGTATTTTGAACCCCAAGTAATCATTTAGGCATTTATTACACTGTTTAAATATATTTGAGGAACTGGCAAACAAAACGGTATAATTACATCAAATTAAATTTTATAGGAGCAGTAAAAAAGTGAATGACATACCTACAGTAAGCTTTTAGCGAGATTTTTAATTAAGTAAAGGTAACACTATTTTTGGGCGGTTTTGATTGACATGAGTTGAAATTCAAATTCAGCTGGCCCAAAACCTCCGGGCTGTAAAAGTAAAGTTTTATATGGTCAAAACCATATGAGTAATTATATCGTTTTATTCGCCAGCTCCTCATTTCATAATCACGACCAAGTTAGTTCGAGTTTGTCCCAAGCAGTGTGCACACAATTACGTTCAAGTTTAATAATAAATATTTTTAGTCAAGTTTATCAAGTGTTTTCCTGTCTGCGATATCAAGAAACAGCAGTTCAATGTACTGAGTTAATAAGGGCTCGTACATACTTGTTAATCACCCTCTAACATAAAAAATATTAAGGAATTTCATTGTATTACGCAGTACATTATTGTTGTTAAAATCGATGGTTTCATTTTATTGTTAAAATCAACCTTTCTGTATCTTACCTGAAGTCCTCCATACGAACTTTGGCAAATCTGTTGACCACGTTAGCTTGGCCCACCATCTCATCGAACCAGTCTTCCACTGTTGCATTTTTAGACCACCAATCCTCGGGCCCTCGACTTCTGTAATATATCATGTCGATAAAACAAATTTATTGTTAGTTGTTTCTTAATTATATGTTTTTTTATTGTATTATTTAGTTATTAGACATGAGGTGACAAATACCTACGGGAGTACCGATAGGTGTGAAAACTCAAAACAAAAAAAAACCTTAGCAAGATGTAAACAAAAAAAAGAGGTGAGGTTTTATGAAAACACCGTCTCTTATTTTTTTCAGGCATTTATCTGAAATTTTTGCAATATTGTTGCTCCGGCTTGTAAAAAGTAAAAGAAAATAAAAAAAGTCCTTAAGTTAATCTGGGAATCGCGTGGTAGCCAAGCTTACTACAACTGAACCATCAATGCTTGTTTATGAAGTATGTTTACTTTAATTACAATTAAAATGTAATGCGACATGGTAATGAAAAACGCGCAATCAGTAATTTTTTGTCATCGGATAGTATGCCATTGCCATGCATAAGATATGTGGTATAATTTGGTAGGCTACGGGATTGGTGATAATTGATGATGAATCATATTTACATCATAAAATGTAAAAGTATTGTATATTTTGGCGGCGAAATACTTAATTATCTTAAAAAAAGTAGGCACTGTTTCTTTAAGATAAGTTTTGTACCACGGTTATTATGGTATTGATACTTACGTTATCGAATTAACCCCAATTTCGTGTCCATCGTTCCATAGCTTCTGCACGTGTCTGTAGTTCGAGTAAGAATGGGACACGAAGAAGGTTGCTTTCACGGGACACCCGTTTGGATTCTTCTTTTCCGGGGTAAACAAGTGTTTGGTGTAAACGTCCCAGTTCTCGTGGTTCACCGGCCCGTGGAAGGTCAACGTTATCATTTGGGGAGTCTGTTGAATGACTTATCAGATATTAGTTGATATTGCGAGATGATTCCCAGACCTTGTTGGTAAGGTTAAATAGTGAACGAGGTAAATAAAATTAGATGTACTACAACTAATAGCTGAAACATAATAAGGCTTTATTGTTAATTAGAAATAACAAGGAAGTGTAGTATAGGTATCAGGTAAAATGTGTATCTAAGTGGTTGGACCACAAACACTAACATTTGGTGTTTTATTTTTATAGATAGGTCCGACAAATGACTCCACCGCACCTGATCTTAAGTAAAAGTGAAGTCCAGAAGCGAAGATAGCTGATACTGATGTTGTGTTTCTGTCGGTAAGTTAGGTTCCAGGGCTTCAGGCAGCGGCGCGAGTGATATTTTTTTGTATCGCATGCGTCTATAGGCTATGATGGCCGCTTACCACCAGACAGGCAGGCCATAAGCTTGTTTGCTACCCTTATTTTAAAAAATGATAGACACTGAATACCATGCAGTGTAAACTCTATATAACGACACTAAAGGGACTGTACATTTTATGGCGTTATAGAGAGTTGTCGTTAAATGGAAAGAAGAAAAATCTGAATTATGAAAAGAAAACGATTATTTCAAGCTAGTAGTTATGTACATAAAAATATTATCTTATTTAAACGCTATTGCGTATATTCTGTTATTTTTGTCTGACGTCTTTTGCTGCACCAGTAATTTTGTTGTATTATATTTTTTTTAAGTCATAGTCAAAAACAGTCTACACGTGCAATCCCAATATATAAACAAAAGAACGAATTTCTTAGAAAGTTTGGTTTGCATGATGCCGATCCTAGTCCAGTTTATTACGGGCTAGGATAATAAAGCGACAAAAGAACGTACACAGCTGCGTGGTTTTCACTAATTTTGGCAACTTAAAAGGTACTTTTTGATACTTAATTGTTGTCTTTGTTGAGAGCGGGTGTAATGCTATATGGAGTGTACCATTGTATGGAAAACAAACTAAACCAACCAAAGACGTGTGACGTGACGTTACAAGGAGTTTACACTGATTTATAAATATTCAGTCGCAGGAGTATAATGTAAAATAATAATAGTAAAATGAGCCAAATTTGAGAACCAATAAGTTTATAGACATACCTATATGCTCTTATATATATAATAACCAATATTATTAAAGTAACAAAATATTACCTGCATTGGAACTAGACTGCCGGGGGTTTCGGTGCCATTCTTGGTACAGAAGCAGTTGGGTAGTTCACATTGGACCGTGTCACAAGGAGTTGCCGAGTTGGGATCGTAACTGCTGTCACACCAACCCTGGGAAAAAATCACAAGAAGTTGCATTACCTACAACGTATTTCCCAACAGTTTGATCGAATACGTCTTATGTGCCTTATTATGGGACAGTCAACAACATACCAAGTCTAAAAAGTCACATTTTCTTAACCAATTGTAAATCTTATATCAAACGAGATAAAGCTAAAAGTTAAGTTAATTTCAGCACTTCTTTTTTCAAAAAAGTTTGCATTATGTATTGTAAAAGTCTGATTATCCCATATCTCATATATATAACAACAAATCCTTCTTTGCCCAACTTTGTTTTTCTGGTGCTGCTTTCCGCACAGAAATGAATCTCATTATTCTGAAGCACGTTATAGATATTAAGGACAAAAAGCATAGGCGACAGCAAAACAACCTCGCAAGCAAGCAACGCTAATATACGGATTGGGAATCCGAGCATTTACCATCGACTACAACTTTTACTTAAAATTGTACGATCTGGCAGCCCTGCCAAATACACACATATATAGTTTCTCAAGCTCTTAAGAAGGAAGATTCACAAGACACGCCTTGTGTCAAACCCGACCTTTGCGATAATCGAACTAATACTTAACTGACCGCAATCTACTAAAAACCTTTCTAATATATACTAAAAATGTATAGACAGCAGAGGAAATTCGTAAACTATCACAATCACAGACGTAAGTGAACTACGAACAACATTTTTTTTATTGGAAGATGCTATAATAAAAATATATTGCGCGTACACATACAACAGTTGCTCAGCAATTTTCACACTCCTGCAAGTAACGAGCGCTTAAGAAGCTCATTACAGCAAGAAACCGGACATAATTCTCATAAGACCACTTTTACCCGCTTGGGAATACGCTAACTTTGAGTGAAACTTTTTACAATATTAGTCAGCCCATTGACTTTTATACTGGGTACGTTTTTATAATATCAGGCGGTCTATAACACTTTGCGCTGTATACATATAAATCCTGTTTACATAAAATTTTACCGAGGGAGTGCTTGTGTTTGTATCTGCATTTTACGAAAGTTAGCACACTTTGTTTCACGATATTGCCAGGCAGAAAACCTACACATTGCTTACATCATCATTGAAAGGAAATAAATTTTAAGTAAGCAGGTAGTATAAGAAAAATTCCTCGCCGAATTCCCAATTACCGCGAAATATTTTTACGAGCAACATTATTGAGGCAGTTATGATATAACAGTACCGTGCATGGAAGTGAGAGCCGCTGATGCAGGTAATCAAAGTATGTTTTTTAGTCAAACTTTACTGTTAAATGCGAGTAATGTTGTGCAATCGGTGGGGAGGGAACGTTCATGTAGGTATGCATGTGTCCTCAACAAAGAAACTAAGTAATTTTTATTTTTCTTCTATTTTTTGTATTAATATATTTTACTTTTCTCCATTAAATATCTACTAGATGTGCACTTAAACACTGTAATGTGTAAATAGTTTTCTGTGGGTAAAAAGTTTTTTAAAAAGTTTTTTTAAGTAGTTTTCTAGGGTATTTGATTTTTGTAATAACTTAGACATTATAATTTTTATTATTTTTGAAGCATGTAACTGCTTGATGTTTAAATCTAAGGAAATATAACTAGAAAAAATTCCACGCGGACCAGGCAGCAGACGGGACTCGAACCCGCACCCTTCGCAATCCGGGCGAATGCACTGACCAATTATGCTACCGCGGCCCTCACGGACCGCGTCGAAATTCTTTCTAGCTATTCTTAAGCTGCAAGGCAGCGCCATCTCTTCGCATTATAGGTAAACCCACAATGTCAAATGAATACTTTTACAAGTATTAAACATTTGAAAGAAGAAATAGCAATTATAGTTATAATTTTTATTATTTTTAAAGCATGTAACTGCTTGATGTTTAAATCTAAAGAAAATATAACTAGAAAAAATTCCACGCGGACCAGGCAGCAGACGGGACTCGAACCCGCACCCTTCGCAATCCGGGCGAATGCACTGACCAATTATGCTACCGCGGCCCTCACGGACCGCGTCGAAATTCTTTCTAGCTATTCTTAAGCTGCAAGGCAGCGCCATCTCTTCGCATTATAGGTAAACCCACAATGTCAAATGAATACTTTTACAAGTATTAAACATTTGAAAGAAGAAATAGCAATTATAGTTATAATTTTTATTATTTTTAAAGCATGTAACTGCTTGATGTTTAAATCTAAAGAAAATATAACTAGAAAAAAAACTTCTTTTAAACTTAGACATTGTTTGGCTTCGTCACAAAATATTTTACAAAAAAACCGACTTCATAAAAAGCAAATAACAATTGAACCGACTGAATAGTGTATACTTTCAAACAATATAGATTTTTTTTAATTGAACCAGCAGACTGCGTAATTACAAAGAGTAATACATAAAACAAACAAAATATTCTGACGAATTGAGAACCACCTCGTCCTCCATATTCGAAAACTAAACTTAAAAAGTAATGATATCAATTAAAATTTGTATCTTTCATTGTATTTTTACGATAAACGAACATCCTATCAAATGTTACCATCTTAAACGGTTAACAGAACATTATCGAGCATACCTATCATATAAAAGACATCAACGCTCTACGCTTTATCAAAATAATGAAACTAACTTCTGTGCAAATTTGTCTGCTGTCTAATGTCTAGTGAAAAGTTGAAATTTCAATTCGAATTTAGTGGTGGTTTCTGGTTGTTTTTCCAAATAAAATATTTTATATAATATATGCTCTACAATGACGAACACTACAAAACAGCGTTACTAGAACGTTACTCTTGTAACATTTTGCGTTACTTTTGATCCTGTCGCGTTACCTTCGCGTAAACTGGCTCAACTCAACGTTACTTTTTAATTGAAAGAAATTATGAAATATTTTACATTTATTATGTATGTTCAAATCATGACAGATAGATTGATAGATTAACACTTTATTATAACACCAAATACATAATTACGTAACATTCACAAACAATAATATTAACAAAAGCGTTATAATTGGCGGTCTTATCGCTAAGAGCGATTTCTTCCAGACAACCACTGAGTATGAAAAGTTATACAGAGACCATAGGGGTGTTAAATGGCTTGGAATAAATAGTCACATCCATACATACAATCTACATCAAACTAAGTATCCTAATTAGACATATAAATATATATACATACATACACATATATATACATATGCATTTAATAACATATAAACATACTTACACATATATACATACACATACATACATAAACATAACATATATACGATAAAAAGTTTACACAGTAAAATCAGATTCACTGCGAAAGATAGAAATTTTTGAGCTGGTCTTTGAATATATTCAAAGACTGAGCGCGTCTGATATTAGTAGGCAACGAGTTCCAAAGCCGAACAGCTTGTACAGCAAAAGAATGGTCATAATAGCTGGTGCGGTGAACAGGCATTGTAAGGGTCAGATTTTCTGATGACCTAAGGGAAAGCGATAGGGAATTTTGAAACTTAAAAAGTTCCTTGAGATAGCGCGGGGAGAAGGGATTAAACAAAATATTGTAAAGGAGTGCTAGTATGTGAGTATTCCGGCGAAACCTAATGGGAAGCCACTTGAGCTTAGAGCGAAAATTGGAAACGTGATCATATTTGCGCAAGCCAAATATAAATCTGATACAGAAGTTTTGGAGTCACTCAAGTTTATTTAGCTGTTCCTCCGTTAAATCCAAATAGCAGGAGTCGGCGTAGTCTAGTAAAGGAAGCAACAGAGATTGTGCTAGTGCAATTTTAGTGGCTGTAGGAAGAAAGTTGCGCAATCTTCTGAGAGACGCCGCTGACGCATATAACTTGCGACTGACTGACTGTAGCTGTAGGCCTCAACTTAAAGTATTGTCGATGGTCACACCTAAATTTCTAACAGATGAACTGTACGGAATATTAGTTCCAGCAAAGTTGACCATAGGGAGAGTTTTTAAGGTAACCTTTGCCATTATTTTGGAACTACCGACTACGATAGCCTGTGATTTTGCAGGATTTACTATAAGGCCAAAAGCTTTGCACCAGTCAGCGATACGTTCTAAATCTAAAGAGATAGTAGATATTGTATCATTCAACTGTGAAACGGACGCTTGGCGCAACTGGAGATCAGATGATCAAGCATACAAGTGGTAGAACGATGAAAGATTTTGAGAAATGGAGTTAATTAAAACGGAAAATAAAAGAGGAGATAAGACGCCGCCTTGTGGTACGCCAGCAGCAGTCACGCACCAAGATGAGAATTTCTCATCCAAGCGCACCCGCTGCCTGCGTCCATATAAATAATGGTGAAACCACTCGATTACCGTTGGAGATATGTTAAAAGAGCTAAGGAGTGCTAAAAGAATGTCAAAATTGACTGTATTAAAGGCATTACTGAAATCCAATAATGTTAGTACCGTTAGAAGGCCCTGTTCCATACCCAGGCGAATGTGATCAGTAATTTTGACAAGAGCGGTAACAGTACTATGCCCAGGTCGGAAGCCAGATTGAAATGGGTTGTGGAGGTCATATTTAGAAAGGAATGCGCTTAATTGGTTATGTACAAGACGCTCAAGTGCCTTGGATAGGAAAGGAAGTATAGAAATGGGACGGAATTCGGTGACAGATTTAGGATTAGGCTTTTTAGGTAAAGGGATAATTTGAGCGTCTTTCCATGCAGAAGGGAAGTCACCCTCAGTCAAGGAACAATTAAAAATGAAGGAAATGACTGGAAGGATGAAATCAAGAATCGGCATCAACATATTGCGACTAATACCGTCACTACCGACAGCATTAGAGGTGATTGACAAAATGCTCTTTTTAACATCACAATCCGATAATCGAGCAAAGACAAATGGAGGAACGTCAGGCAATGGTAAAGAAGAAAGGTAGTCAATGGTCTTAGTTTTGTCAGAATTACTAATTCCAGATGATGAAGAAAAGTGAAGATTGAGGGAGTCAATATTAATATTATTTGGAACAGTCTCTTTACGAGCTTTACCAATGCCAAGTGACCTGAGGAACTTCCAAACTTTAGCAGGCTCCTCATTTTCGACAGAGGAATGAATATGACGGCGCATGGCGTCCCTACACACTGTATTGTAGCGATTTCTAGCCTTATTGTAATTTGCTTTGTTTTTGTCACTAGGATATTGCTTGTATCTACATTTTGCAGCAGCTTTGCGGTGTATTAACTCTTTAATATCCTCGGTAAGCCATGGCGCGGGAAGATGTTTAATTTTGATAGAGCGAAAAGGTGCATGTTTGTCGTATAGTTGTATTATAAGACTGTTGAAAATTGCAACCTGTTCGTCTATGGTTACAGCTTTGTATACAGGAGACCAGTCAATACCGCGTGCATCTTCAAGAAAAGCTCCCTGGTTCATACCACTAAAATTGCGCTGAAGAATAACTTTACGTTTTGCTTTAGGAGGGCGGATTTTATATGATAAAAACACCAAGTCGTGATAAGAAAAGACATCCGCTGACAATTGACCATGCTTTGCAACATGTTGAGGAGATGAGACCATTAGAAGGTCAAGAAGAGAAGGGGAGCAGTTCGGAAAATGATGAGTGGGACTAAGCGGAAGAATGTGCAAATTTGCAGAATTTATAATGGCTCTGAGGGAAGAAGAGCGATTGTCATTCTTGAGCAGGCATGTATTGAAATCACCCATGATGATGGAATGGCTGTAAGGAGGAATAAAATCTTCAAGAAGATTTTCGAAGGAAGAAAAATAATTTATACGGAGTGATGGGCTATAGTACACCCCAAGCAATATTTTGTTGTTCGACAACTCAACCTCAATCAGTAGATGCTCGCCTGCGTTTAACGGTGGCGGTTGGGACGAGGTGCTGACAACAGAGAAAGGAATGTGGTCGCGGAGATAAATAGCAACCCCGCTTCCAGCCGCACCTACGCGATCATTCCGTATGAGACGGAAACCGGGAAGAGCATACGAAGAGGAAGGTAAACACGGCTTCAGCCAGGATTCTGATACTAATACAGCCTGAAGGTTTTTATTATTATAAAAAGACGCCAACAAATCCGTATAATGGGCCGGAATACTTTGCGCATTAATGTGAATAACGTTAAAATTCTTAGGTGAATCAGAAAAGTGACCCTGAAGAGTATCTGTGAGCGAAGGCAGGCTAGAATAGCTAACATTACTACTACACGAGCTATTTGGTGAAAGTGATAAAAAACTACAGTCGTTGCTATCAGAAGAATCGCACATTACTATGAATACTCCAAAAATGACGTTACTTCTTAATCTAAAATGTTACTTTTTATACAGTCTTGTGTTACTTTTGTTTTTCCTATGGCAACACTGCAACAAAATCCCCTTTGGTACAGATACTAAGGAGTGAAAACGTCACAGATAGTTTAGCATTTATATTGGGCACTTAGGATTATGTCGACATACCTCGTCAGATGAATCATCACAATCATTGGAGCCGTCGCAGAAGTACTCGGCGGGTATGCAGGCGCCGTTCGCGCATCCTAGATGAGTTTCATTTGCGCAAGGTGCTGCCTCCAGAAGTGGGCGCGGAACTAAGATTTCTAAAATAATAACATTAAGACGCCGTGTGTAGCGATAGTTTAGGTTTTTGAAGGGGTAAAAGCAGGAGAAGCGAGTGACGGCAACTGCCAGTCATTCCACGCAAACCCTGTTCAGCGGAGCGGAAAATATAGTCGTATTATATACATACAATACATTACATACGATACAAATAAATAAAAAAAATGATTTCTAAACTTGGCTTATTTGACATGTCATCAAACAAACAATTAACACGGGAATAATTTTGTTTGAAGCAAAACTACATGAAGCTGAAACTAGCAGACATTGACGCAAAAACATATTTCTGGCAACTATTTTGATTTTAAGGGTTCCGTACCTCAAAAGGAAAATCTATCTCTTATCTATTATCTCTTATAGGTCATTCTCATGACAAATGGTTCTTCTTTTTAATTTTCTTTAAATTATTTTTACCGACTATACAACTTGAAAAACACTTTTAACATTATAATTTTGTAGATTTGGCACTTCTTTTAACTATTTATTTTTTGGCATAAATCCAAAGAGAGATATACATTTGGACGTGACTAAAATTAGGTACGCAGCGACGAACTTTAAAATTGCTCAATAAATTTTGAATATCTGTTTTAATAAGACATACATAGAAATAATCAACATACAAATCATTATTTAGATGTAAATGACCAAAATATATATTTCGGCACTGTTGCAAGCGCCATGATCATGGAGTAACTGAAGTAATTGCGGGTAGATGTTATGTGGGAAAATTCTGTACTGGACAGCTAATGGAAATTAGGATAACAAATGACGTTTTGCCAAATTAGGTGTTTTATACACCATTCTATTTCTTGTTAAGTAATTAATAGAATTTATCCCAAAAAATATTAACCCCGAATTAAGGTTTTGGTAGATATTTGTTAGGACGCTCAAAAACCGGATGAGCTTAGAATGATCGTTATAAGATTACTTTGTTGTCTAGCCGTGTATGAGTGTTACGAAATCCTTTCTAAGCAACGAAGCCATACCTCAAAAGGAAATAAAAACCCACTTATACGATCGCTCTGTTATCCGTCGGTCCGTCTGTTTATCAAGACCCTTTATCTCGGGAACTCGTGGAGATATTGAGTTGAAATTTAAACCATACACTCAAGTCTGCAATACATATTTAAATAAATATTATTAAACACATAAAATTGTAAGAAAACTTTCTTGCACATAAAGTTTGTTAGCTATGAAATTGAATAAAATATATAATAGGGTCAATTAATAACAGACTTTCTATGTTTAAGAAAATGTATAATTGGAGAACACTGTTACAAGAGGCACAGTGTAACATAAGGAATGTCTCTGCCTTTTTCTTATTTGTCTATGGTCTGTCTTTACGTGGTTTTGTTAGTTTTATAATTATACCGCCATGTTAAGCAACTGTCATCAGACGTCAATTGACGGTGTTTAATATAGAGATATTCCTTTTGTTACACTATGCCCCACTTGACCCTACCTACCTGTGGAGAGATCGCAGTTGTATACATTCAGTGCATGGTCGCACTTCTGACGCCTAATGTCGAAGAGGAGACCTTCTGAGCATCGGAACTCGTACACTTCGCTGTCTACGCACAGATAGTATTTTGCGCACTCAGCAATCGTCCATATGTATTGCTCAGGCCGATCTGGGTTCCTGGATTAAATACAGATTATTTTACAAAAAAAAAATGGTTGCCTGTAAAGTCGGTTTTACGGGCGAAGATTTTACGTGACAACGTCTTTTTCTCGGTAGAATATTTATTGATATGAATATAATTAAATTGCACAATAGGAACAAGGAATTGAATGAAAATAAGAATTGCACAAATTTTAACTATAGAAATATATTTTGTTTACTAAAACATTGTACATGTAAACTTAAACTTAACACGAGAGACTCATCGTAACGTTACCGAGCGTTACACTTTTTCATAAGTGACTCCCAGCCGCAACCTAATTTAAGACGTTGTCACGTCAAAAGGCTGGTCAACATTCACTTGGCCGGTCCGTAGACGATTGCTATTGCCTGTATATGCTTGCGATACAAAGCAGTGATGCTGACATCATATTTCCTTAATCAGTTAAGCCCTGGCAACCTTGCCAACCACGACAATACAACATATTATGAAGAGATGATATTTTTTATGTTAAAAAGTTGGCGAAAAATCATATGGCCCGCCTGATGGTAAGCGGCCACCATAGCCTACTCGTATAAACGCTTGCGATTAAAAAATATCACTCACACCCCTGCCTACCCTGACCCAATCTCCTATCCCTTGGAGCCCTGGAACCCTACTCACCGACAGAAACACAAGACCAAAAGGTAGTGTTATTTTACTGTGGTCTTCTGTTAGATGGAGATTATTTCCCCAGACGGGTGCTCCAATTTGAGCAGAAAATCCGCTATGCTCTACCATTTTTGAAGTGAAACTTCTTTATCGGCGTTGGAAAAAAATTTACCGTCACATTTTTCGGTTACGCGTCACATTTTTCCGTTACGCGCCATCTTTTTTTATATTAATTTATTTATTTATTTATCAGGCATGCCAACATTTTTACACCCAACATAATTAAAAAAAACATACGTTATACATAAAGTTGTGCAAAAACAGTTACAGGCATACACAACTCTTATTTCTGTCAAAATTAATGATATAAAACTAAACTAGGTATAAAAAAAAAACATACATAAAACTAAACTATAATCAAGTGCCACAATCAATGCTCGATAGCAAAGCCCTCCTAAATGCAATCAATGACGCAGCGAACAAATCAACGCCTACCAAGGACCCAGTACAGATTTTATTATGTTCTTCACAAATCCTATTTAAAACACTCTGCGTACCCAGGTTGGTTTTATAAGTTTTTAAATTAAATAATTTATAGTTGGCTGGTCTGAAATTTGGTCGTGGTATATTAAAACTAATTTCACTAAGAAGTTGAGGACAATCAATGTTACCTCTCAGAATTCTATACAGTAAAATCTGATCAGCAACCCATCTGCGTTTCCGCAATGAAACCAACTCGAAATACTCCAATTTATCCTTATATGAGATGAGTTCATATCTTTTTCCCTGGTGTCTAGTTAGAAAAGACAAAAACTTTTTTTGGATTCTTTCAATTCTGCTTTTATGACACTCATAAAGAGGATTCCAAATAGCAGAACAATACTCCAAGGAACTGCGTACCAAAGCAAAGTATAGAAGTTTCAATGCTTCAACATTTTTAAACCGCTTACAACTACGCCAAAGAAATCCCAGCATTTTTAAACTCTTAGATATAATATGGTCAAAATGATGAGTGAAAAGTAATTTTTTATCCAAAACAATACCGAGATCTTGAATGGACGATACCTCTTCAAGAACTTGGGAATTTATAGAATATATAGACTTAACCGGAAATCGTTTCTTAGTGAATTTTATATGCTTACATTTGTCAGGATTAAAAGGAAGCATATTTGCGTGTGACCAAGCCGCTATTTGGTCCAGATCTTTTTGTAAAAGCTCTGCATCATTGGAATTTTGGACAGTTTTGTATATTTTAAGATCGTCGGCAAACAATAAACAACTTGAGTACCTAATAACTCGAACCAGATCGTTTATAAATGCTAGAAAAAAGAGAGGTCCCAAATGTGATCCCTGAGGAACTCCTGAGTAAACCAGAATATAATCAGATTCATATCCACAAGTAACTACTTTTTGATATCTCTCAGAAAGATAAGAATGACACCAGTCTAACAAAGAGCCGTGAACACCTGCCAAGCATAATTTCTTCAGCATTATAGAGTGATTAACCTTATCGAATGCTTTACTTATATCGGTGTACACCGCATCCACCTGTCGACCCTGATCCAGTTCAAAACTTAATTCATTTACATAGCATGTCAGATTTGTAATTGTAGACATCTTTTGACGAAAACCGTGCTGCTGAGGAACAAGGATGGATCCAAGATGATTTGTAAAATATGGGTACACTAATTTTTCAAACAGTTTAGGAAAACTAGATAATAAGGAAATAGGTCTATAATTACGCACGTCGCTCGTATTTCCTGATTTAGGAATTGGTAAGACATTAGCCCATTTCCAAACTAACGGAAAAACACCAGTAGATAAAGAATTATTAAAAATAATATTTAGCGGATATGATAGAGAAGAAGCACAGTTTTTTAGGAATATGGCTGGCACTCCATCCGGACCTGGACCTTTCCTTGGATCAAGATTCTTCATCGCTTTTTCAATGCATTCTACCGACAGGTATATATTAGAAAGGGAATTATTATTGTCATAAGATGTACTGCCAACGTGTGGCATTAGAATAGCAGGATCATTAGCCACGTATACCGATGAGAAGTGTTGTGCAAAGGCATTACAAATTGACTGAGGAGTATCAAACTTCGTATTATCCAAATGCATTACAGAGGGCATCGTAACGGCTTTCTTGCGATTGTTTTTGACATAGCTCCAGAAGGCTTTAATGTTATTCTTGCTAATAGAGTTTTCAATATTATACAAATATCGACGGTAACATTTTTTTATTAGTAAATGGCATCTATATCTTGCCTCTTTGAACTCAAAATCATCTACAGGATTATTATAAAGCTTTAGTCTCTTCCGTAATTTTTCCTTTTCTTTAAGCATTTGAATAAGGTTTTTAGAGTACCATGCAGGATACTTATTACATTTTGCAGAAACTTTAGGTACGTACCTTTCTATAGTTTGATTGACTATAGAGTAGAATGAATTAACCATAGCATCGACTGAGTCTGTATTTCTGAGTTCTTGATCCCAATCAACACAATCAAATTTTTTATTAATTTGAGCATAATCTGCACGATAGAAATTAAATTTTAAAATTGTCTGCTTTTTCAAACATTTATGAACTGTAAAGTCAATATTAATATTAATCGATGGATGATGTGTATCAAGACTCACAAGAGGATCATCTACAAAATCAACATTAACAGATGAACCACTTGAGAAAACTAAATCTAGCAGTTTATTATTCCCATTCATAATATTATTAAATTGCGTTAGATTATTTAATGACATGAAATCAGACAAGGATTGATAGAGAATACAATTTCTGAATTTGGGAGACATAGCTGACGATGACATTGATTGACATGGGACCCATTCAATATTTCCCAGATTAAAGTCGCCTATGATTAACATTTTATCGTGAATGTCTAGTGAAGATAATCCACTAGAAATACTGCTGAGTAAATTATCGAGGTCTACTGAGGATACAGGTGGTGGGAGATATAAGGCACATATAACTAATTTACCTAAAACTCCCTTGGAGTCGGTGATCGAAACCCATAAATCCTCAGAACTGCTTTCCAAGTATGGAAGACGAGAAGACGTAAGATTATTAGAGACAGCTATAAGGACTCCACCTCCGTCCTTTTTGATAGAAGATGTAGTGGCGCGATCTCTACGATAAATCCGGTAGTTATTATTTAGAATTTCCGCATCAAATACACTGTCATTAAGCCATGTCTCCGTCAAAACAATTACATCGTAACTTTGGTTAAGACTAGATATATATAATTCATGTAATTTACCACGTATACTTCTAACATTTTGATAATAAATATTTAGTTGATCGAATTTTGTATTAATATGGATAATAATACTTACTATAAACTAAAAATAAAATAAATAAAAGGAATAAGAGAAAGTCAGTGCTTCAATGATTGAAGTACATCACCATTCCGGATCCAAAGAATAGGGGACTCGTCATCTTTTCTCATTAGAATACGACCGTTTCGAACCCATAGATATTTGTACTTTGCCTCCTTTCTAAATAAACGGGCTTGAGCATGCAAAGAGCGATTACTTGGAGACAGATGTTCACTTAAATAAATTTGTTCCTTGTCTCCCGCCAAACCCAGGAGACCACTGTTGAGTTTGTCGTCGGGGTGAGCTTTATTATACGCGAGACAGGCCGCGATCATGCTATCACGAACTCGAGGTGAGGACAGTTTTGCTATCACCGTCTTGGGTCTTTTTGATTTCGGGTTCAACTTGGCTACTCTCGTGCAAGATAGTATATTTTCCTGTTCCAGCGGACAACTCAACACCTTAGCGAGTTGTATTACAGTGTTGGGTAAATTCTCTTTGGAGAATTCAGGTAAGCATTGGATTTCCAAATTGCACTCACGTGCCTGCTGTTCTATGGTATTCACTTTGTCTGTAAGCTCATTAACGATCCCAGTTAACTTTAGGTTCTCCCGGCGCAAATCTATAGTTGATGTCTTAGGTTTTTCCAGTTCAGTGTTCACGTCATCATATCTGTTTGACAAAAATTCGATAGTTTGTTTCAAATCAGGTATAAGTTTAACGGCGTTCTGCAAAGCTTCGAGTTCCGAGCGAAAGATGGATTCCATTTTCTTAAGCAAAGAAGTTTCCAGCTGGGATAGCTTTTTATCTAGCACATCCTGGAATTGACTATGCTCCTCGGAGACTGCTGCGTCATCTTTAATTGGAGTGTTAGTGTTGTCGCCTCGTTTTCGTGGAACTTTACATTCTGGACATTTCCATGAGCCTTTAGCTTTAGCCGACAGTTTGACAAAATTTTCTTTAGTTATGTTGACACAGGTATAGTGATAGACATTAGAACAGGCCGTGCATGAGATCTTTTCAGAGTTGATTA